ATGTTAATATCCTTGTGTAGTTCTCAGAACTTAACAGCTAAATGATACTGATAACAATACTATTAATAATAACTAGATATAATGTTTTAAATTCTTAATGTGTTACTCATTTTATTGTGATCTATGAGATGAATATTATTCCTTTTTTACAGACTAAGAGGGTTTAAGTGACTTTCCCAAGTACGGTATTAGTAAGTGACAAGCTAGAAGTAGAATTAGTCTTTTTGTTACTGGATGGGACCCAGAAAGCCCCCCTAGAGAAGGTGACAACCTCAATTCACTTTGAGTAGGTTCTTTTTTTTTTTTTTTTTTTTCTTTTTCTTGCGGCAGTGGGGATCGAACTCAGGACCTTGCGCTTGCTAGGCAAGCGCTTGTACCACTGAGCTATATCCCCAGTCCCTTGAGTAGGTTCTTGACTTATCAATGCAGAAAAGCATTTCAGAATGTATCAGTGAGAGGTATTGACAAATTTATTAGACAGAATCAAAAAATACAGGCTCAGAGAAGAGTGTGCAAGAACTCGAGGAGTGAGATACATTGCAGGTATTTGTGTGTCTTAGGGTATGCTTGGGCTGGATGATGTAGGATATTTATTCTTTGAATTATTTATCTTTTACCTAGTGTTTGTCAGGTTACCCATTAAAAACTGACTTTATCAAGTAGGTTAAAGTGTCAACCACTTGTGTTTGAAGTTTAGAGATTGGTACCCAATTAATAGTGGGTTTCTTTGAGGGTGGAAGTCTTGTGGATTTTTAGAATCAGAAGAACACAGGTCCAATCTGGCCTTCCATATCTTTAAGACTTGTGGGGATTTAGGAGTGAGAAGCCTGGAAGGAAAACAGCCTGAGGGGTGGAAAGGCATTGTAATCTTGGGTAACTTTGTGTTTCAAAGCCGTAGTTTTCTCAAAATTACAGTTTCCTTGTCTCCTTTCTACCTACTTTTGTTTCTTCTGTCTTACCTTGGTTTTAATCCTAAATTTACTTGGTTATCCACCCTTCCTCCCTTAATGACTATGGGAAATAATTTCTACGTAAATACCACAGCACCCTGGATCTCCTTTATTGCATTCTGTCCTTGGCTTAATTCATTTGGCAAAGCAGCAGTGACACATCAGACACAAATCAGTCTTTCATTTTAAAACATTTTTCAGAGTGTCTCACTATTTAAAAACACCTCTCTCTCCCTCCCTCCCTCCCTCCCTCTCTCTCTCTCTCTCTCTCTCTCTCTCCCCCCCTTTCTTTCTTGCACAGTTTATTTGAGTAAGTAAAAGTACTTCTTTATTTGAGTAAGTAAAAGTACTTCTTCTCTGCAGACCCGGCTTGGACCAATAGAGGAAAAAGCAAGATAAAAGTACACCTTGGAGGAAACAGGGTGGGTTATTGTGACCAAAGCTTCTATAGCCTCTTAGTTTTATTTTAGCTCCCTACGTCAGTATGTTACCTTAGGTTGAAATTCTATGCCTGCTTCTTAGGATCTTTTAATATCTGTTGTTAGCCTACCTATCTAGCACCTGTCTTATGTCCCTTCGCATATATCCTTTATTTAAATCAGGCAATCTGTTTGCTGAATTGTGTGTAGTGGTGGTGGTGGTGGTGGTGGTAGTGGTACTGGAGATTGCGCCGAGGATTTTCACACTGAGCTACATCTCCAGCCATTCATTCATTATGAGATAGGGTCTCACTGAGTCACAGAGTTACCTAGGCTAGGCTTAAACTTGTGATTCTCCTGCCTCAGCCTCCCAGAGTACTGGGATTACAAGCATACACCACCATGCCCAGCTTCTTGAATGTTTACAGTGCAAACCCATTCCTGTCTCCTGACTTCATCTTGTAGTTTTCCCTCATTTATCTTTTCAAGGCCCACCCAAGGCTTCTCTAATAACTATAATTAACAGTATGTGCTCTTGTCTTGACTGCATATATCACTTACTGTCTAGACCTTATATTTTACTATGTCATTGCTGCCTTTAATACAATATTATGCACTATCTTTCAGTGTTCTTTCAATTGTTTCTTATTTTGTTGTATATTTTCATTGTTTTTTTAAAATTTTGAGACAGGGTCTTGCTAAATTGCCCACATAGGACTCAAACTTGTGACCCTTCTGCCTTAGCCTCCTCAATGCTGGGATTATAGGTACACACCACCATCCCAGCTCCCTTACTGTTGTCACATGTATAAATTTAGCAGAGGTTAAGTCTCTTGAGAAAAAAAGCAACAGATTTTTCACATGCCTAAAGCAGTTCTTGAACATATGCTACTCTAAATATTAGTTACTCCCATTGGTATGTTATAATAGTTGATACATTGTACCATCTTGAGAAGTTTAGCTAAGGGACTCTGCAGGGAATCAGGGTCCTCACTTTGTAAACATCCCCATCCTGTTCAAGAGGAGGGCATGGAACCCGGGTGTGGTGGTGCATGCCTGTAATCCTAGTACTTGGGAGGCTGAGGCAGGAGGATTGTTGCGAGTTCCAGGCCAGCCTGGGCCAGAAAGTGAGCTCAAGGCCAGCCTGAATTGCATAGCAAGACCTTGTCTCAAAACAAAACAAAACAAAACAAAATACTAAGAGGAGTGCATGGAGATGGTATGAGTGCCACACCTGGGTGTGGGTGTGGGTAGCCTGCTTACAATATAAAGGAGGAAAAGAGTCTTGCTTTCTCCCTTTGGCTCTTATTACTTTTGCTGTCTTCTGCTGCCTTGAGCTGTTGTCCCTGTGCCATGCCTTGGAACCAGCTGATTATGGACTGAAACCTTTACAAACTGTGAGCTAAATAAACCTTTCCTTCCCTGATTTTGGGTCTTGGGCATTTTATCTCAGCAACAAGAGAAAAGTAACCAAGACAGAATTTGCTACCAGAGAAACTGGGTCAGTGCTGTGACTATATCTGACCATGTAGTGCAAGAGCCTTTGGGAATGGCTTATAGGAAGAATTTGGAAAGGTTCAGAGACATCACCTGAAGGAGTAGCACTGGATTACCTTGGGCTGTTCTGTATGAGAGATTCTGGTCAGAGCTCAGAAGACCAAAAGGCTGATAGAAATCCTGCCGGTAAAGACCTGCTCAGCAGGTTTTTATTGGGAACAAGGACTGCATTGGTTGGTGGAATGTAGATGATGTGTTATGGCTTGGCAGAAAGTTTGTCTGTATTTTGCTCATGTCCAGAGACTTTGCCTGAGACTGAGATTGAGATTAAGGGCTGCAGATTTAATTAATCTGGCAGAAGAAATTTTAAGGCAGTTGAATGTTGAGGCTGTGACGTGGCTACTGTTGGGGGCTTTTTAATAAGAACTATGTTGAGAATCAAGAGCAAAGAGCCCAGCAGGATGATTTAAAATGTTGTGAGTTGGGCTAGAAAGGAAGCTCCATTAAAACTGTGGACTACAACGATAGAGCTGAGGAGATCCCAATTGCTGAGAAGGAACAGGAGAATACAAAAGATGGCCTGAGGGCATCACAAGAAGCAGCAAGTCTCCATCCTTGCAGCCTCAAAACTGCCAAAGTAGAAGACTGTGTTGAGGAGAAAGCCACAGAGCACCATGTTCCAGAATGGCAGCAGCATAGAAAATTTGTGCCTCAGAATTGAATTCAGTGTGCTCAGTGATCCAGTCACTCGACCTCTACAGCCAAAAGAGAGGAAAGTCTGCCTACTGCTCCAGCTGGCAGCAGACCGTGGCATCATCCATGTGGTGCTGGCTTGAGGTGCATGCAGAATGCAAGAGTTGTGGGTTTAAAAAGGCTTCCACCTCAATTTCAGAAGGCTTGGGAGGCCAGACAGTGTGCCCTCTGAGGGGGCAGTGTGTGAAGCTGTGAATGGGAAGCTGAAGGTGCAGTGAAGACCCCAGAAGGTTGGAAAAGTCAAGAACATGGATCATTTAAGGAAAGCTGCAAGGGGAGAGCAAAGCATGCCTAAGAGAGAAGCCATGGGAACTGTAACCACCATAGGAGTGGAGTGCCATAGGAGTGGAGTCACGCAAGCCCTTTAAATTTGCCACAGATTGCTTCAGATGTTGGACATGGAACTACAGGATTTTATGTTTGCCCTCCTGGATTTTGGACTGCTTTGGTTCCAATCCTTTATATTCCCCTGTTTGTTACTTTTGGATTGAAAATGTTTATCTTGTTCCATTGAATGTTGGAAGTGTTTAACTAACTTTTCATTTGTACAGGGGCTTATAGCCAAGAGTTTGCCTTTCATTTTGGAGGAGACTTGGGACGTGGACTTTTCAGCAATACTGAGACTATTAGGACTTGGGCAACTCTTGCAGATGGACTGAATGCCTTCTACATAAAGGGATATGCATGAGTCTTTGGGGGGCCAGGGGCAGAATGTTATGGTTCTAATGTAATATAATGTTGATAGACTTAATACTGGTTGTTATATGTTCAAGTTGTGAGATGATAAGAATAGGCATGTCTTTGTATCTGGGAATCAGGTTTTTTTTTGTGTGTGGGAATCAGTTTAAAGAAATGTGTCTAGTTGACAAATTGACAAGGGGTGGATTGTAATGATTGATACATTGTGTCAACCTGAGAAGTTTAGAAGTTTAACTAAGACTCAGCAGAGAGGTAGGGTCCTCACTTTGTGAACATTCTCATCCTGTTCAAGAGGAGGGCATGGGATTGTGTGAGTGCTACACCTGTGGGGGTGGGTGGCCTGTTTACAATGTAAAGGAGCAAAAGAGGCTTTCCCTTTTGCTCTTGTCTTCTGCCTCCTTGAACCGTTGCCCTTGTGCCATGCCTTGGAGCTTGTGGACTAAAACCTTCACAAACGGTGAACTAAGTAAACCTTTCCTTCCATAATTTTGGGTCTTGGGCATTTTGTCTCAGCAACAAGAAAAAAGTAACTAAAACTGACGTCCATGTTGATACGATTATGATGATAGTCCAAGAAGATGCAAGTTTTTCTGAAAATATACCTACATCTCTATTTTTATCAAGAATGTGCTTGATAGTAACTTTTCCATCCCCTTCTGCCCTGCATTTATTTTGGTGATAGGCTGTTGACGATGTGAAGAAAGGTTACATCAAAGCAGAAGAAAAGTCTTACCAATTACAGAAGCTGTATGAACAAAGAAAAATGGTCATGGTAAGTTTCTGTCCCCATTAATATTTTTTATAAAATGCTCCTTTTTACCTCTTAAAACTGATGTTCCTATACTCTGGTTTCTCTTCAGATGATATAAATCTTTCACCTTAAAAACTCTTGTTCCTGGGCCGGGGATATAGCTGAGCGGCATAGCACCTGCCTGGCAAGTGCAAGGTCACGATTTCAATTCCTGGCACCAAAAAAAAAAAAAAAAAAAAATTGTTGTTCCTGTCATTTTTGAAATGTACTGGAATAGTGGATTAACTAATTTTTAAAAAGTAAGGACTTTGATGCGAAGAGCCTTTTTTTTTGGTCTTTTTGAGACAGGGTCTTGCTACGCAGTTCAGGCTGGCCTTGAGCTCACTTTGAAGCCCAGATTGGCCTCAAACTTACAGTGATCCCCTTGCCTCAGCCTCCTGAGTGCTGGGATTACAGGTGTGCACCACCATGCCCGGCGCAAAGAAAGTTTGATGCAAAGTCCATTGTATTCTTCATTTGATGCACACAAAGCTGGATTACTCTTCATAAGCATATAATTTATTACTAGTAATAACTAAACAGGCTGGGCGTGGTGGTGCACTCCTGTAATCCCAGCACTCAGGAGGCTGAGGCAGGAGGATCATTGAGAGTTCAAGACCAACCTGGGCTACAAAGTGAGCTCAAGGCCAGCCTGAACTGTGTAGCAAGACCCTGTCTCAAAAAGACAAAACAAACAAAAAAACTAAACAGTATAAGAACTGGTATTGTGTGTGTGTGTGTGTGTGTGTGTGTGTGTGTGTGTGTGTGTTTTGCTGGGGATAGAACCCAGAGCCTCATGCATACTAGCCAAGTATACTTCTCCTGGGCTACCTCTGCAACCCAATATGGTATTTAGATTTTTACCATTACAAATTATTTTAGATGTGAGTTAGCAGGAGCAAAATCATTTGTTTTTGCAACTTCCATTTCTATAGTTGCTTAGGCGTTTGTGCTCAGCAGCCCTTCGGTTTGTATGCCCCGGAGCTGTGGTACTCAGTTTGCCAGCCACAGGCCTCATGTTACTATTTAAGTCTAAATTTAAATTAAATAAAATTTAAAATTCAGCTCTTCAGTTGTACTACCCACGTTTCAAGTGCTCAGTAGCTATAGAACAGCTATAGGACATTTTCATCATCATAGAAAATTCGATTAGATAAAGCTGCCTAAGGTATTCTCTAAAATGTTTTAAAATTAGTTTTCACTTTGTATCTGCCATAGTACAAGGATGGGAATTGTAAAAAACAAAATTAGGAAAGAACACTTACAATAATTTTCAGTCACAAAGTTTTTTTAAACTCGTAATATTTTAAACTCTTTGTCTTAGCAGATTCACATGTAATTGAATTTTTTCCGATTACAGCTTATTTTCACCATCATAGTATTGTATCGGTAATGATTTTGATAGGTCACATGAGTTATCTTGTACCTTTTATGTACTTTTTATGAGAGGGTATTCACTTACATTTAGTTGAGTTGGAATAAGAATACAAACAAGTCAGCCGCTGACCTTAGAGCATGATCTTATATCTAGATAGGATATTCATTTTATTACTATATGTTGAAAAGTAATAAATCTCTTTGCCTTAAAAATATTGCCAGAGGCCAGGGAGCCATCCATCTTACCAGTGTTCTACATATCAGCAGGCTGAAGTGGAAAATGCAAAAATCTTTTAAATAAATTAAATCTTGGCAGAATTTGTTAGAAAATTTTTCTATGTGTGAGACAGGATTTTAAAATGTAACTTCTGTGGGACATGGTGAAGCACACCTATAATTCCACCACTCAGGAGGCAGAGACAGGAAGATCACCATGAGTTCAAGGCTAGCCTGGGCTGCATAGTGAGATAAAAATAGATAGATAGATAGATAGATAGATAGATAGATAGATAGATAGATAGATAGATAGAGCTGCATAGTGAGACAACAAACAGACAGACAGACAGTACGTAGGTAGATAGATAGAAACAGGCAACTTTTACCTGTTCTTTAAGAGGACATTGTTGCCGGGCATGGTGGTGCACGCCTGTAATCCCAGCACTCGGGAGGCTGAGACAGGAGGATCGTTTCGAGTTTGAGACCAGCCTGGGCGACAAAGTGAGCTCAAGGCCAGCCTGAACTGCATAGCGAGACCCTGTCTCAAAAAGAACCCCCACACACAAAAAGAGAGAGAACATTGTTTTCTGTATAGTAGTGCATGATTCTGACTAAAATATTTGCATCTCTTCTGTAAAATGGGAAGTTACTAATGGGCTTCAACCTCTGCAGTAGTTCTTTGTTTTTGCCAAAGCCAATAAAGTCTTCCTGTTCTTGAAAAGACAGTAGAAATCAAAGTAATTTCATAAGATTGTCTGATCAGTGTGGAATGCATATTGTTTCTTTGTATAAATAGTGCTCCAAACACACTGTCCTATTTATGTGCTCAACAAAAAATTCTTGTTGACTGCCAAGTATGTGCCAGGCACAGTACAAAGTGCTAGTGAAATAAATAGATTTAGGTTGTTCTTTGGCAAAATATAGAAAATCAAGATTTAATAAGCACAGAAATCTATTATGAAATCATTTTTAGAATCAAGTTCATAACTTCATAATCACCTACTTAACTAAAAAGTGCAGTTGATATACAGATATTTTCCTACAAGCCATTGGCATGGAATATAAAATATGCTTAAACATTTATAGAATTTCATTGTGTTGGAAATGTAGTGCCAACAGAGAAGTATATACTAACCTCATATTACTATAGATTTTGAAGACTGTCTCACCAAAGTTTGAATTTTATGTATTCAGATAGCAGTATTCAAAGCCAGCCTATTGGGTCACATGTGCCTTCCAGAGCTCAGAGGTCCTGATGACATTAACTATAACAACTTAGTAAAGTTGATGGACTTGCAGTAAAGTCACATCACTACACTCAGTTGCCAAATTACCATGGGACCAGCAGCAGCTCAACAAACTCACTGGTTTGGTTTCTTTTTTGGAAAATGAGAATATACGGATTGTTAGCTACTGAGGTAGAATCTTGACGGAATGAGATCTTTAAGCTTTGTGTAAGTTCCGTTGTCCTCCAGATACAGAGGACAGCTCATATCCTTGCTATATGTTTTTATTTTCTGCTTATTTACAAAGTTAGATTGATTCTCAGTTTTGGATGATTGAGTTCTCCCTCCCCTTCCCCTTTCCCTCCCTTTTCCTCCCCTCCCCTTCTGTGTCTCCATATTCTCACACAAACAATAAACTTTGTGTAGATTATGCTTTACTTATTTGAAATAGCCTACTTTGCCTTTGTTGATCTGATATATTGTCAGTGGCCATACCACCCTGAATACATCTGATGGCATCTGAACTGACGTATTAGTGTTTGTTAATATGATTTGTAATGATTTTAGACAAGATAGTATATATGAAAATCTTTTTTTCTCAGCCCACTCCCATGATGATCACTTGTGAAGCCCCTTAAAATGCAGATTTCTGGACCTCACCCCACATTTAGCATACCAGAATCTCTGGGGATTAGGACTTGAAGGGTTTTTATTTTTTAAAAAGGCATACTTCATGATTCTGAAACTTGGGGTGCTTCAGAATAACCACTACCTTTAGAGCTTCAGGAGATTGGTTCCCAGGGCTCCTCTCAGGCCCTTATTTCAACGTTAGACCCGCTTTGACTCTTTGGCAAGTTGGTTGGGAGAACAGTTTTTCTTCAAAATGGACCTTGACCCATTTTAAAGTGTTCTGCTCTGTTAAGTACTGAGTCTCTATGTTTGTGTTGATAGCTGCCCTACTGCTGTATTTATCTGTATGAGTGAATATTGAACGTTTATGAAATGTCCTTTACTGTGCCTGTCCTCTTCTCTCACCTAAACAGGATACCAAATAAGTGTGGAAGGAAGGCAATTCAGGGTACTTAGCTACACAAAATTAGTATGAAAGAATGGATGGGATAACTTTGTGTTTTAAATATATGTTATAAATATGTTTAAAAACAAAAATTCACCTTTTCCCAATTTTGGACTGATTTAAGTTTTTAAGTGTTTCTTCTCTGTAGGCTTTGTGTATACTAAGAATGTAGCTTTTGCCCACTTAAAACTGAGAAATGCTATTCATCCTGAGAATCTTTGAAAACCTTAAGTCTCCCAGTGAGACTTTACCTCTGGCCTCTCACCAAAACTACAGGTACCCTTAGTTTTCACTCAGGTTATTACTAGAGCTTACCACCAAGTGGAAGTCCTCTGATGGTCTGTTGCTTTCAAGGATCACATTCCTAGCCAGGGATATAGGTAAGCGACACAGTACCTGCCTGGCAAGTACAACGTCCTGAGTTCAATTCCCAGTACCAAAAAAAGGGGAAGGGAGATATTTATTTGGGCTGGGGATATATATGAAAATCTTTATAAAAATTTAGGGGATATAGCTCAGCAGCACAGCGCCTGCCTGGCAAGCACAAGGTCCTGAGTTTGATTCCTGGTACAAAAAAAAAAAAAAAAAAAGGACCACATTCCTTAATATGGAGGGATTGATGGGATCTGCTGAGCGCTCAGGGATCCACTGAGACCCTGTCTCAAAAATCTAAAACACCAAAAAACAAAAGAAAAAAAAAATTTTTTTTTTTACCTAACATCACATAGCCTATTAGAAGTAGAACTAAAATTTGAACACATACCTCTCAGGGTCTGGTGCGTGTTCTTCCCTGTATTAGGGAACAAAAAGTGGTAGCAGAATCCTTTATTTCCAGCAGAGGGGAAGTCCCCAAGTAGAGTAACTTTGTCTTTTTTTTTTTTTTTTTTTTTTTTTGAGGTACTGGAGATTGAACTCAGGTCCTTCTACATGCTAGCCAAGTGCTCTATCACTGAGCTACACCCCCACACACAGCCCTAGAAAGTGTTCTTAAGGTCACAAGAAAGTGTTTAAGATATGTAAAGTGCCACTTTTCTTTGGATCTAATCCTAATTCTAATCTAATTCTTCCTAATTCCTGTCTTTGTGGAATTGCTTCTCTCTTTCTAAAAAATTTATACAGTAAAATTTCCAATTAGGAATATGTCAGAAATGTTTGTTCAAGCAGTAGTGACGTTTCTCAAGGAAGAAACCTCTCAACAAGTGAGTTATATGTAAGTATGTTTTGTTAAGGACATAAACAGAGCTAAGCTCAAGGCTCCCTGACATCCATTGGCATTTACACAAGTCTTAAGTTGCTCATTGAGCATGTCAGCATTTCTGATGGCTATGTTGGGATGAGGTGGATACTAGAGGCCTGGTTGCAGAGCACTCTTTCCTTTCACATTTTGTTACAAACATATAAAGAAGTTAAAAGAACGATACAGCAAGCCTTTGTGTCCCCATTACCTACCTTCAGTAGACTTTAACTTCCTGTCATTCATATTCCATGTATCTCACGTGCTTTTTTCCCTCTGGAGTTTTTTCAGGTTTTTGTTGTTAAGTTGTTGCTATTGATTGTTTTGTTTGTTTAGTTTTGGTTTTTGTAGTGCTGGGGATCAAATCCAGGACATTGTGTGTGCTAGGCAAATGCTGTATCATGGAACTATATTTCTAGCCCCTTTCCTGGATTTTTACAAAGTAATATTTGAGCAGGTGCTTATACCACTGAGCTATATCCCCAACCCAAAAAAGTAATATTCAGATACATCATTTCACAAGGTTTTTGTACACACACGTGAATACTTATACATGTACAATTATCACTTCTGACTTCATTCTGTCTCTATTCTTGCTACTTCTAAATTTTTCCCCTTAAATTTGCTGTTATTTTAAAACAGTAATGTAAAGTAGGAAAGGGAACAGTTACATGACGCCACCCCCCGCCCCCCGCCAGCCCTGAATCTTCTGTTCCTGGTGACAGTAGCTGTGTGGTCTTAAGTGCCGTTCATCAGTAGCAGGCCCTAGGTGGCCTATGTGCTTTCTTTTCTCCCTTGGTAGAGCAGAACATGACTTTCCAGTGTATTCTATACTCACTGATGTCTCGTTGAAGTCAACTCTAGCGCTGCGTCCCTGCTCTTGCTATGTGACGTACACCTGGTGTGGAGCTCAAGGCTGTTCGCTTGTTTCCTTACACAGTCCCTGAAAGGAAGCAGGGCAGAGACCATGACTCTTCCTTTTCCTATTTCTCTTTTACCCATCTTTTACACTCTCATCTCTCTACTCAGAATAGTGAGTTGAATAAAGAGAACCCTGCTTTACCTGTAGAGGAAAAGGGACAAAGAGTGGAGTTAGCATCAGTAATGCAGTGCCTCCTCTAGATTAGCCTCGGAGCCTTGAACCTGTGACCATTCTTATGTGCCACTTGGTTTGGGGTTTCTGCTTTTTAAGGAGCCATACAAACGAGAGATCCGGGGGACAGTGGGGCTGATTTGGAGGCCGATGATGGAGCAGGGGTGTAAAAATTAAACCCTGGTTACAACCCTGGTTGTGCCCATTATTCTTACCTGTGACCTCAAGATAGTCTTACTTTATTCTTGGTGATTGTAAAATGACTAGTTTGTAAGTTTTTTTCAGTTTTAACATTTTATAGGCATGAAATGAGTAATTTAGTCTTCATCACTCAGGTTATTGTAACTTTTGGTTGGAGAATAACTGGGGTAAAGCATTATCTTCCTTTGTTAACTATAAGCAGAGATTAGATTCTCATCTCTGAGGTGCAGTGAAAATAGAGGGTCAGACTAAAGGCTGTTCTGAGGGCCTTTCTAGCTCTGTAGGTCTGGATAACATTGTCTCTTCTATCTTTCATTTATGTATCTTATGTAAGTACATAAATGCAGACTGAAAGTATGAAGGCAGCTGCTGGTAGTGGGTATAGGTCACAGAGTCCCGTGCCAACTTTGGGCTAAGTGTGAGACCAGAGTCCAGCTCGTCAGGTGGTTGGGCGAGAATACAGTACGCTGGTACATCTCAGCAGCTCTTCAGTTGCTTTACTTCCTGGTAACACAGTTTCCCCCTCCTTTTCCCCTAGTACCTCAACATGCTAAGGACTTGCGAGGGCTACAATGAAATCATCTTCCCCCACTGTGCCTGTGATTCCAGGAGGAAGGGGCACGTTATCACAGCCATCAGCATCACGCACTTTAAACTGCACGCCTGCACTGAGGAAGGACAGCTAGAGGTGAGAGTTCAGTGTGGGGCTGGGAAGGAGCATTGCAAGTGGACACTGGTACTTATACATTTGCTGTGTTTCAGTTCCTCCTTGGGAGGAGATGAAATCAAAACTGTGTTTTCATTGGAGTTAAAAAGCACTGGGTCCAAACTGACCTGACCCTCAAGTTCACTGGTTGCTTCCCCTGATTTTTACTCCTGTGTTTCAGTCCTTTCCCAGAAATGTTGCAGACGTTTCCTTTTATTTATCCTCTGCTGCCTGGCTCAGAACCCCCTCGCCTAAACTCCCCAGTACTCTCCGACTCAAACTGTAGACTTTATTTTCTTGCTCTTGGTTTTCCAGAACCAGGTCATAGCATTTGAGTGGAATGAGATGCAGCGGTGGGACACAGATGAAGAAGGAATGGCCTTCTGTTTTGAATATGCTCGAGGAGAGAAGAAACCCCGATGGGTTAAAATCTTCACACCTTATGTGAGTGGGACATGGGGAGGGATACTTGGGGAAAGTAGATTGGGCTTCAGCTTTCTTAAAAAACTAAATACATAGAGACAGAGAGATGTGGCTTTCTTGGGATCAGAACCTATTTGAATCCAAGCACCCAGGCTCATCCTTTTTTCCTTTAGGCCCAATACCTGGGATTGGCAATTTCACATGCTACTTGACTCATAATTACCACTAGAAGGAGCTAGAGAGCAGTAGATGGTCAGATCTGAGTTTTGTGGCACTTGTCAGGAGTTTTTCTTATCTGAGTGGGTTTGGAAGATGGGCTGATCTGGCAGTTCAGAGGCATGGCCCTGTGGTGCCTGGTCTTGAGAAGTTAGTGAGTATTGCTACTTTTTCCCCTCCAGTTTAATTACATGCATGAGTGCTTCGAGAGGGTGTTCTGCGAGCTCAAGTGGAGAAAAGAGGTAATTCTAAAGACTTCTTCAATTAACTTCTTCATCTTGTTATTTATAAGCCCATTGCCAAATACCTGGGACCCTCACCTCCATTTCTATCTTTCTAGGAATATTAGTTAGAGACTGGTTATCCCATGTGAGCCAGGACATTCTTCCAGCAGGGCTGGCTTCCTGGATGGTGAATGGGCTGCGCAAAAAAGCCCAGCTTCTTCTCTTGTCTAAAGGGTGTACTCTGGCTACAGGCTCTTCCATTCTCATGATTTCGTGGACCCTCTTCTGGCTGTTGTTGTTGGGTTGCCTTGTTTTGTTTGTTTGGGTTTGTTTCGGTCTCTGTCCTCCCTCACTTTTAGCCATCTGACTGGATGGCTGATGACAGAGTCCTTCTAGACTAATGGTGGCAAACCTATGGCACGCATGCAGCAGCAGGTTGTTTGTATCATTGAAAACTCTAAAAGGTTCGCCATCACTGTTCTAGACTACCAAAAATGTGTATGCAGAGGAAAGTTTTTCTATGACTAGTAAGTAGGTGTCAGTGCTGGAACAGAACTTAGAAGATTGTAAATAATCAGCTGTTTGTTATCAAAGAAAATAATTGGATTAAGAGGTGAAGTCAGGAACATGAAAATTTATATTTTTAGTATGGTGAAAAAAGAAACTTGGGCTCTGGGAATCACATCTAAGTTTCCTCATAGCTTTATAATTTTGGCTAAATCAGTCTCCTTAAATCTGACTCTTCTCTCCTGTGAAACAGGAAGACTTAGCTGGGTGGTTAATATCCAAAGTCCTTCTGGCTCCCAAAGGCTATGATTCTTGGTGGGAAGTCCTATCGGGAAGAGGCCAATAAGCTAGGGTCATCCAGTCATGCCACTTTAGCACCTATTTGAGGATTGTCTCCAGATTAGAGGAGATATGGCTTCCCAATAACACTTTTTTTTTTTTCCCTTTCAGAACATTTTCCAGATGGCGAGGTCACAGCAGAGGGATGTGGCCACCTAGCCTTCTCTTATCCCCTTCCCTTCTTCTTGCCTTCATCCTCTTATCCCTTTCATCTCTCTTGTCAGACAGAGTAACCATTAACACAAAAGAACAGATAAAGGAAAAAAAGTCATTACATTCAGAAGCCCTAAACTAAATATTATTAATAACTCCCTCTGGAATTGAGCTGGTAGAGAACAACAGATTGGTCAGTACCAGAGGTCCACTGAGATAAGACAGGAAGAGAAGTAAGCCCGCCCTACTCGCCAAAGGTATCTTTGTCCTTTCACCTCGGCCTCACACCGCAGACACTCCTGTACTATATTTTTAAAACTGGAACTATGAACTTCATCCATTTGCACTGTTCAGACATATATATGTATGTATGTAAAAAACTATATATACACAAATCAGCTGCACGTATATACATATATATATTTCTTTTTAAATTTCATATTGATGGCAGTACCTTTTTTAGCTTGTGTTTTTACACACCTTTCACTAGAATTCATGACCTCTCTCTTGCTCTCTTTATTTTGAAACAAACTTTAAAAAGGAAAAAAAAAATTTACAGGAAAAATACCTCTCCTCATGAAGGACTCGAAAAGTTTACAACCTGCTTGGGTTTTCCCCCCTTTTTTGTGTTGAGTGCAGTTTCTGGCTCATGGTTGCTGTCGAGTCTGAGGAGCAAGGAGTGTAGTGTCTTTATCTTCTAAGAGGGCACTGGGAGGAGAAACAGGTGTGTTTCTCACGGGCACAAGGCTGCGATCTGCAGAGAGAGTCTGAAGACCTGGTGTGGTCTCTTGATTTCAAGACAGTTTCCTGGTCCGTCTCTCTCCCCCTCATAGCTTTCTGGCCCATTCTGTACTCTTTCCTTCTTCCTTGGGGCCTCTGGTTGCTTTTCCTCAGCTGCCCAGGGCAGAGTTGATGCCACAGAAACCCAAAACGCTTCATGGTAGTAATTGCTGATCTTGCCTTTTCTGCAGCAGGGATGGCATTAGGGACCAGAGTAAAGCTGATACCTGAGGCACAAAGGTTAGATTTGCGGAGGGAAAAGAAAGGAAGCGATGTCTTGTGTACATAAGGCTTTACTTAGTCTGTTCCTGAACAATAACCGCCCATAACTATTACACTCTCTGTGACATCCTTAAACAGCAGTGTTGGGAAGGGACCTAACAGTATCTTCAAGACCTTAGGGAAACTTAGGTCTGTTGTCTGTGCCAACCAAACTATAGCCCTGTCCAAGCCAGCTGAGGACCTAGGAAGGACTGGGAATATGGTCAGTTTTAGCCACATCTCTACCTTTTGTTTAAAAGGAGACTGAAGGAAAACCTTCGTATTCCTCAAGGAGTTGCTCGTCTGACCTTGCAGTTAGGACTTTTGAGACCTACAAGCTACAACCCAGGATCAGAGACCAGGGCTGAAGCATAAGGCAACATTCCCAGCCCCTGAGCTCCATACCCATTACATAAAGAGAACTAAGTCCAGTTCAGGTGCAACTGAAACATATCTATGAACCTTTTTTTTTTTTTTTTGGCTCCCTTTCACCTTCAGAAGAGAAACCTCCTTAGGTTTTTCTCAAGATATTCTCTGCCTTGTCTAGCTGGGAGGCAGTCAGAATTGGTTATAGTCAGTTCCACTGAGCAGTGTTGGGGTGGTTTGAAGTTTCTGCTTTGTAACTTGTTTTGCAGTTCATTGTGGGGCCATTTTTCTTTGTTTCTCACTGTTATCCTAGTGGCCGTAGGCCCCCAGGGAGGTGTGAAATTGTATAAAACATCCTATCCTTCCCACTTCTCCAAATCCAATCTATGAAGAATCACAGATTTCAGAACACTAGAATGCTGAATGTTTAACATTAAAGAGGGTAATCCCTGCTTTGAAGGCTTTATTTAATACAGGATCAACTCCTTCTCTTGGCTTAAATGAATTTAATAATAAGCCAGAGGTCCTTATAAAGAAGATAGGTTGATTTCCCACTCCAAGACGCTAACGAGGCTTTTGACACCAGCTTTGTTCAGAATATAAAAAGAGCAGCAGTGCATCCCCACTCTCATAGTGGGAGAGGAATGAACAGGTCCTTCGCCTGCATAGCATCCAGTTGGTGTTTGGAGATTGGGTGAGGGGCCCCATGAATAGTTAGCCTGTTGGTAGGATCTGCTTAAAACCGGCTTTTACTGGAAGCCGTGCCACTAACAAAGCACCCAGCTGCAGTAAGGAGGGAGACCCTATAGGATGGTGCCTTCTTTCTCACATCAGGCCTCCGGCAGTGGAGGCAGAGGTCATTGTGGCAGCAGAGGTCCATAGGATCAAGCTCTTCTTTGCATGAAGCAGTGTTAGGTGTAACTCTACTTCCCCCTCATCCCTTGTACTTTCTTTCTGTAATCCCTACTACTTTCCTCAGTCCTGGCTTCTGCCCAGGGAGGTGTCTACCCAGTCTTCTTTTACAGTTTGACATCGAAAAAAGAGGACCCCCCCCCCTCGCCCCCAGCTTCACTCCAACAAAGTCAGCAGGATCTTCCTGGTTTCTCACTGTCATCCCCTGCACACTGGATTTCTGTCCTGCGGGGCAAAAGCTTAGAGTTTTTATGGAACAAGAGGAAGTTGAGCCCCTGAGGAGCCTGTCTCTGTAGAAAGGTTCCCTTGGGCCATACTTTGAGCTCTCTGCTTTTCATACTTTTACTTGATTCTTTATCTTTCTGGCCTCCCTTGCCCCAGGCATAAGCTCTGCACAGGTACAGATATGTATGTGCTCAGAGTGGCTCTAGGCCTGGACAGAGCTTTTAGTGAGGAATTAGATAAATATTCCAGTGTCCTCATGCTGGCCATTTCATGTCATCCTTTAGTTACCTTGGCCAACAGCTTTTGGTTATCTCTCCTAGCTTCAAACCCAGTGACCGGGGCACAAACAGGAGGTGTGGCAGACGACCTCTGTCTCATCTCAGATTTGCCAACTATGGGCCTGGCTGAGAAGCAGTTTTCTTAAAGGGAACTGCTTGCTAGGTGACCTGAAGTCTCCAGGCCTAGAGGACCACTGTGCCCTCTTTTCTGTCTGTTACACTGTCTGGCTAGACTGATGTAGCGGAGACCTCAGCATACTGCTGTTCCTTCACCAGCGTCATTGGGTCACACCAGCTTCCTTTCGGAGGGGATGTGTGGCTGACTACTACTCAGCGAAGGAAGGAAGGAGAATGCAGGCAGTGGGAGTGCTTCTGTGGCCTTCATCTTCCAGTTCTACCTGCTGTTCTCTTCCCCTAACCCTGATCATACATTGCCAGGACAGCAGTAGTTCACTCCTCAGCAATAAGCTCGGGTGTATTGAAAGTTAGGCTCTGGGGAGGAACAGAACTGAAGAGGGGAGTGATGTAGGGTGAGGCACTTGACCAACTGCTAAACTTAGACAGCAATTTTCTATCATGCCCCCTTTTAAGCTGGTGAGCTGGGCTTCAGTTTTTCCCAGGTCATGCACACTTTTAATTTATTTGAGAGAAACTCTAGCTGTATTTTCACTCTAGTATCTTGTATTTTTTATTTGTGATTTAAGAAATGTGAAGAGAAAATACACAGACATATAATGGCTAACAGTGTTTCTTCATTCCTTGTTCTAGAGCTAACCACTCCAAAAATTGTTTGGTAACGTCACTTAGTGTAATTAATTGTAACATATTCTTTTAAATAAATTGATTTATTGATGAAACAATTCTTTTGTTTCCTAGACTACAAATCCTTTGGGGTGTATGGGACGAAGAAGAACCTCTGAGATCTGAGTTAGAATGGTCAACCTGAAAATGACAAGAACATCTAAACAGCTTTCCCCAGTAGCCAGTGGAGCAGTCTCTGGAGGCAGGAGATGGGGAAGGACAGGGAGAGGAGAAGTAGGCAGGTCCCTGGTTTTCAGCTCTGTTTGCAGCAGCTTCTTGACATTCCTTCATCTCCCTCAGTTCTCAGAGTAATGGAGCTTGCCCCTCCTGGCTGCCCGCTGGTACAGAATCCTTTCAGTCACAGGACTCCTTTCCCAGCGGAATACAGATAAAGTCTGGCAGAGCCCTTGAGACAGATTTCACACTGTCCTCTCAGCAACACCTATGCGCTTTTTCACTTTTCAGTAACTCGGAAAACATTCTCTTGAAGATCTGAAAGTGAAAATGTGTTACCCCTAACGAACGCCTAGACACGACTAGATGCTCTGGTGGGTAGTATTCCACCTTGTGCCTACACCCTAATAATAAGGGTGCTCCCTTTGCTGCCCTTCACTTTACAGAGGGATCTCAAGTGCTGGGCCATTTACTTCCTCCTGTCTGTGCTTGACTTCATAGGCAGAATCTGAAAAACTGACATTTGTAGTGGATCAGACATTTTAAAATTGTTTTTATAAATCTTCACATTCTTACTATTTTTATTACCCCCGATCAATGTACTTTTGTTCCTTAGTCGATGACCATCAGAGCAAGAATCAGTTTGACATTTTGTTTGGCATTTGGAGGAGAGACATTATTCACGGCCTCATTCACCCAGCTGCCAGCATTGAATATTAGAATCTGATAAATACTACTATGCTATGGAAAATTTTTTTACTTTAACAAGGAAAGAATCCATAGAGAAGTAGAAGGTGAAATTATAGAATCACAATTACAGAAGTTAAAATAAAAAATATTTATTAGTTATCTACCATGTATGAGGCAATGTGTTAGCTACTGCCACAGATACAAAAGCAAAGGGACACATTCTGCTCACTTATAGTCCTACAGAAGGAGACACTTACAGATGACCATGACAGACTGCAGTGGAAGGTTCAGTGCTGAAAGCACTAGAAAAGGAGGGGGAGAGGCCTACAGGGAGGGCATGAAGAAAAGGTGCTACAGTATTTAAGGTGACTCGCTTAACACAAGCAGGGTTTCGGCAAGCAGGCATCGAAAGCTTACTGAGTCAGTTTTGCCAGGCATTGTAGTAATGGGAAAGGATAGGACACGGATGAAAAGGATCCACCTTGTCCAGGGGAAAATGAACATCCTATTCAAGTGGAACTTAGGCATGCATAGGAATGAAGACAAAAGTGAGGCCTAAAGAAATTTGGTACCAGGGAGGTGCTGTGTGTTAGCGGAAGCAGCAAAAAAGGTTTTTTATCAGGTGCAGTTTAAAAAGATTGATGTTTCAGACTACAGAATAGAAGGTCAATTAGACTGCAGTGGTTATTCAGTTAGTACGTGGAAGCAGTGAGGAGTGAGAGGAAGGAAATGGAGATGAGAAGAGCTGTGGAAGTGAAGGTTTTCATGATTGAATGACAATGAATCTGTCTCAGAGGAGTAAGAGACTCCTGAGGCTTTACATCTGTGTGGCTGGAAAAAGAAATAGTTAAGAATTGAGATTTTTGTGGGAGAAAAGTTTTAGTTTTGGACTCTTCTGGTTTTGGCACTGGCTTCACCTGCACAATCCAGTCTAGACGTCCAGTGGTAGTTTCTTAATCATTTACTAAGTAACTTCTAGTGTGCTGGGCCCTGCTGGACAAGACAGAGGAGGTAACCAATGAATATCAATGAATTAACTTTTATAGGTAACTCCAGCTTCTTTGGCAGACAAGTTGCAGGAGGGCAGGAGAAGAAATGAGTGAGACAGAAGAGGCTGCTGCAGCCCAGGGAGGGTGGGAGCAGTGGGGTTCGGACAGGGTTGGCAACAGTGGAGAGGTGAGCTGATCTAGATGACTAAGAACACTGCAGATGTAGCCGCAGTAGGGCTTTGCAGATGCACTGGATATGAGATATGGGAGGAAAGGTGTAATCCAAACTTGGGAAGGAGTGGGTATGTAGTGGTGATGTTTACTAATGAGGAAGACTAAGAAGAAGTCATTCTAAAATTTGGCTCAGGAGAAAAAGTAGGCTAGGAATACGTAGCTGGGAGTCATTCTTATCCAGCAGGTGAGAGGATGCAGTACATTGGTAGGAAACTCCATTTATGGAAAACAAGAGAAAGCTGATTCCTTGGTGCAGTAGGCTGAAAGAGGGACCAAAATGTGAGGATTTTATGAGAACCAGGAGCTGGGTCAGGGCTATTCAAGTTCTCAGATCTCGAAAAGAGAACAAGGTATGACCATGAGTGGAACTCCTTCAGTCACAAATACTAGAAGCCAAGACTATGGAAAGCTTTGAAATTTTAGAAAGAGAAATGAAAGATGACACAGGGAACCCACAAAGTTGGGCCATGCCTGCCAAGCCAGCAGGGCGCAAGCCCAAAGGAAATAGAGACACCTCACATTATCTGTACACATTTAAAAGCTTGAAATACATAGAAAGGAAATGAAAACACATTGAAGGAATTATTCTCGGGGCTTTTTCCCTCCTGCCATGTTCTCATCACTTTGGTCTGCCTGACAGGATATTTTTGTTTTTGGTTTTACAATTGAAAGTCTTCCCCCATCCCTGCTATTAACTTGCCAGCTCCTCTCTTCTGCCTCAAGAAGCTGTTTTCCTTCTTTGTGCTGCCATTAACATCTTAGCATAGCTTGATTATTATAGAAAAAAGAGACAAGTAAGGTAGCTGTTAATATTTTGTGGGGGCTGCCACACTTCAGCTGCCTGAGATATGGTAAGATACCAAGAGGGAGGAGACTTCCTGGTCGTCATCCCTCTGTATCCCCACATCCTGAGAGAATCCACGAGACAGTAAGCCAGTCTGGGAGATGTGCTTGGTCTAAAACCACATTTCTGCTTTGACTCAGGCTGTTCTGAAACAGACATCTCAAGGGAAAGTTCCTAATAATTAATACCAACTCCTGTGCCGCCAGCTGCACACACTTCTTCCCATCTCTGACCTGTACACACAGGCTTCTCTCTCAATTTCAGGTGCTTTATGTTGGCTAAGAATCCTGCCTGGGTTCTCCTTTTGAGTAAGGTCCCATTCCTGGTCTCTTGATTTCTACCACCCCAAGAGGTTTGGTTGGTTGGTTGTTTTTTTCCCCCTGAAACTATGTCCATAGATACATCTCCATAGTACTTCACATGTTGTTTCTTTTTAACTATGGGAAATTCAAAGAGGAGGCAGAAGTATGGGGCAGAGGTGGGATGAGTTGGAGTTTACTTGTGGTTGTGTTTTTATGAACAGCTGGCCTGCGGCCAGATCAGAGTTGGATGGTGACGAGTTTCTAAGACAGCTAGGGTAGCAGGTAGCTACTGACAAGCAAGTGGCCTGAGAATCCACCTGTGTGCTCCTGAGTCCTGCCCTAAAGCAGTTCACAGAGAAGAATCTAGAAACCAAAGGGGCCTGGCACAGTCTGCCTTCTACCTGATGGGAATCACTGCTGTAGCCTCCTTGGCACTCCTTAGGACCTTTGCCTCCAGAGGACAGGTGAGATGGCAGCCTATGGGCCTTGTAGTCAGCCAAACTGGGCTCAACTCCTCCAGCCTTCCCGTACCAGCTTTGTGAAGGGTAAGTTGGTCAGCTCTCAAAGCCTCCTTTTCCCTATCGGTACAGCCCTGCCCCACAGGGCTTTTGTGAGGTTAAGTGTAGAAATGCACATTAAAGGCCTAGAACAGAATCTCATGTGGAGCAGTGGTTAATAGGTGATGGGGGTACAGCCAGCCAGGTATCCCACTGGCCTACATGCACAAATGGTTCAGAATGTAGACTTCAAGGCGCCAGCCTTCAGAGGGACATGGGAGAGTGCTCCCCACAGGCTCTTCTTCCCTGTGCCCAACTCTGCAGAACATTCCAGAAAGAAGCCCCAAAGATAAGTAGAATATGATCATGAAGCTATGAGCAGGTGCTGGACACTGCTCAAAAGCAAGGGTTGGGCCCTCCCTGAGAATTTCCTCTCCCAAACTTCATTCTCTTTACTTTCCTCCCACCCCAGCCCCAGTGTGAACAGCCCCTACCCTCAGCCTTCCAAGACTCTTTTATTTGAATCTTTTAAATTTTCTTTATTTAGACAGAAAAGACCAACTCTTTAAAAGTAAAATGCAATAAATAAATAAGTTAAGCATAGAGAACTGTCTGAAACTGACTCCCCAGTCTCCCCTTACCACTCCCACCCCCACCCATCTTCCTTTCCCTAAAACCTCTTCCTAAAGAAAATCATCAGGTAATAAACCCCTTTACCCCTCCCCACACCCTCCCAAATACCCAGTCACCCCCCCAAACCAAAGGGAGAAATCGAGAGTGAGAAAAAAAAATCCAAGGGTAACATTGTCTAAACTCCCAGAGAGATGGCAGCGTCTGGGCCAGGCCAGGTGGGCTGGATAACGCACGGGTGGTCGTGGTATTTACATGGAGGGGCCAGCAGAGACTGTAAACATTTTTAGGGGTTCAGGGGGGTCTTTTCCTCATGAAAGGAGGAGGGTCTCTAGCTGACTGGCGGAGAGGCAGCCCTCAGGGCTCCCCCACACCCTCCTTGGAGGGGGCCCTTGAGGGAGGCAGTGAGTTTTAGGGCTGGGAGCCCAAGGTTAAGGGATATCCTACCTCTAGATGAGGGTGGAGGAGGTGTGAGAGCCAGCTTCGGAGAAGCCCCTACTGCGGGGAAGAGGCTGGGGCGAGGGCAGGCTCGGTCCTGCACCGCTAGAACAGGCTCACGGGAGAGCGAGCGTGGGCACAGCCCATCACAGGAGCCCTAGCAGAAGGCAGATACCCCGGAACCCTCAAGCCTATTCCTTGCTCCCTCACAAAGGCCAAAAGGATGCCTGGGAGGAAACAGGCCCTCGGAGCCAGGGAAGCAAAGCCACGGCCCTTCAGAGAGGCAGGTGGTGAGGTGGGGCGGTGTCCTGTGCCCCGAAGGCCATGAAGCGGCTTTTGCCCCAGAGCCCAGTCAAGGCCCAGGGCAGATGTGCAGAGAGGCCGGGGGCCAGTTGTGGGAAGAGGGTGTGAGCTGCCCCTTCCTCTGGTACCTCCACATCTGTAAAGGAAGGAAACACGGGTGAAGCCTGGGGAAGATCATGATCAGTGTGCGTCTCGGGGAAGGGGAGGTGGCTGGGGTGTTGACAGCACCTGAGATCGGGCTGCCTGAGGAAGGCAGGTCATCAGAAAGCCCTCAGCCCATATGGAACCACCCCCTGCCACCACCAGTCATGAGAGCAAAGGCCGGGAAAGAGACAGGGAGGGAAGCTATTAGAAAAACCAAACAGCCCATGAGATAAATAAAGACTGGAAGATACATTGACAGACCTAGAGGGGAAAGAGGCAAAGAAATGCAACAACAAACAGGCAAGCAGAAGGAACTGAAAGAAGGAAGGAGAGGGGTGCATTATGAGACAGACACCTGGAAAGAGAGAGGGAGCATCCGCAGAGAAGGCCACGGTGGACCCGGGACTGGGCTTAGGGAGGGAGTCTCGTGGGTGAGACCACCCCCAACCCCTAGGTAGTGCTCTCATTCCTTTTTGGAAAGGAACAAAGAAAGCAAGAGAGAAATGCACAGAACACAAACCACAGTCACCAACCACTGTTGACCAAGCACATCCCGCGAGCTGCCCCCGGCCCTGACCCTGGGCTGGGGGGCGCTTCCCTCCACGGCCCCTCCCCAAATAACAAACAATCGGCTCCAAAGACAACACGCTCGTTCCATGCAACTTACAGGGGCCCGGAGCAGGGGTCCGGGGATGGGGGCTTCAGCCGACAATGGACACGGGCCCTGGGCTGGGGGGGCCCCCAGGGTGGGGGGGAGTTAAGCAGCCAGGATTGGGGGGAAAGGGGAGAAACAGAAATGTGGGTATTGTTTTTGGGTTGTGTTTTTTTCAGGGGTTTGGCCCAAAAGAGATTAAACAACACAAAAATAACCAAGGTTCACGGATCTGTGGCCCTAAGTTTGGGATGGTGGCCAGCAAGGGGTGGAGGGGACCTCATAAGCAAGATTCACAGACGGTGCAACATTCCAACCTCCTCCACCTAAGCCAAAGTGACTCCCAAGGGGCCTGGAGGTGGCCTCCCCCAGTCTGTCCTGCACTCTCCTGCCCAGAGTTCACTGCTGCGTAAAAAAATCACCCAAAGTTCAGAGCAACAAGGACCTGGTGTATCCACTTCTCAGGAGAACAGATTCCAAGAGCCTGAACCATCCCCTTGTTCCCCAAATCCTATTCCCCTAATTCATCCAACCCAAAGGAAAACAGAAAGAGAGGCAGAAACATGGACATTGACCAGACAGTAAGACAGTAAGACCAGATATTGTGAAAGACCTGGGAGTAGACACAGATAGATGCAGATTTTCTTGTTCTGGGGTCAGTGTGTGTGTGTGTGTGTGTGTGTGTGTGTGTGTGTGTGTATGTAAGAGAGACGTGGTTGACCAACAGGTAAGGGAGCCACCCCAGATCCTGGATCTCATGCCCAGAGTCAGGTGGGAGTGGGCATCCTACGTTGTGAGTGTGGGGCACTCCTGGGCCCTGGCTACAACATATAGGGGCTGACGAGGAAGGGCACAAGACAGGAGCAGCACCCACCTGGGGCCCTCAGTAGGGCCGGTTGGCATCTTTAGGCCGCTTTAGCTGGACTTTGAGGCGCTTCATGCCGATCTGGAAGCCATTCATGGCCTGGATGGCAGCCTGGGCACTGGCTGGATTGTCGAAACTCACAAAGCCTGAGGTGAGAGGGGCATCAGGCCCAGCCCCAGGCTACTCTCTTGGGGACATGTTCTCCAGTTTCCCAGCACCACCCTACTTCTTCCCGGTGTCCTTGACAGTGCCTGGCACATGGTAAGCATTTAGAAGGAATTTGCTAACTGATGGGTTAAATGGATGAATCTAATCCAGCCACTCACAAAAACTAAGTGAGATATTCTTGCCAGCATTCTTTGCAGGGTTGTCCCTTCCTCATCAGCCTGTATAGTTCTGAACCTGTTGTTTGAAAACACTCACTTCTAGGCCCCTAAATGGTTTTTGTTGTTTTGTATTTTTAAGACAGGTCTCACTGTGTAGTCCTGCCTTGCCTTGAACTCACTATGGAGCCCAGGCTTGGCTTGAACTCACAGTGATCCTCCTGCCTCAGCCTCCCAAGTGCTGAGATTACAGATATGTGCCACAATGCCTAAATGGTTTTTGAAGCAGCCTTTCAAAAATGTGAAGGCAAGTAAAACATACTCCCCTTAAAAAAATCAGTCACCCCTAGACTGAGCCTATTTCAGACTTCTTAAAATGTAAATTCAACTGTGGTATTTTGTTTGCTTTTTGTTTTGATGCTGGGAATCGAAGGGCTCATGTATGCTAAGCATCTGTTCTATCACTGAGCTACTCCCCGGCCCCAAGGCTGGATCTTAGAGGAAAGATGAAGCTGTGGCATTCTGCAGGAAGTGCTGAATGTGTCAGAGGTTGCTCTTTTGTGTCTCTGGACACTCAGAATTTCAAATACTTGGTCTCTTGTGACCATAAATGCCCTCAGATGTATAAGACCTTGTCCTAATTTGGAGTTACACACACCACACACACACACACACACACACACACACACACACACGTCCACACTTTGTCTTTTGGATCATGCTGTTCTTACCAAAACATTTGCTCTGATTGGTGGCCCGGTCAACAAAGACTTTGGCTGAGATGACATGGCCAAAGGGGACAAACATCTGGAGGATCTCTGAGTCTGTGAACTCCTGTGGCAGGTGGTAGATGAAGATGTTGCAGCCATCAGGGCCTGAGTGGCAGTAGATTGGAAAGCTCAGTGATTGGCACATAATGCTGGTGCAGCAGGGTGTCAGGAAAAGCCTATCCTGGGGGCACCCTCCAAGTCTAGCTGAGCCACCAGCAGTGTGAGCCAGGGCTGCAGCCACTGCCTCTCCATGCCTTCCTCCCCACATGAGGGGCAAGACTGGGCTTGGCCCAGGGCAAGTGGGAGTCCATAAGCCCACAACCAGGGCACTCCTATCCCTCAAGACTTGCGGCTCTGAAGACCCTGACCCCGATGGCACCTTCTCGTTGCTGCTGCTGTTGCTGCTGCTGTTGCTGCTGTTGGGGTGGTGGAGGAGGCTGTTGGGCGACCAGGGCCGGAGGCTGTGGGAATGCAGGTGCAACCAGGCTGTAGGCTGCTGGGTAGGCTGCTGGGGTGGGGAGAACAGAAAGAGCAAATGGGGCTCCTGTGAGTCCTCCAGTCAGGCCTGACCCTGGAATCCACAGGGCTGACAGGTTTTCAGGGAAGGAGCTGTCCTGGGCCCTTGGGTGTTCTGCCCCTAAAGATACATCCTCATAGGTGTGGCCTGTCGGGAAAGCCTGGAGGGGGTGATGGGCAGGGAGCTCAAAAGCCCTTTCCCTCTTTCCCTCTTGCGACTCATCCCGTAAGGGCAGGGCCCTGGGCTGCGGGGAGGGGGCTCACCTGTATAGTGCTGCATCCCCGCATATGCCTGCTGCAGGGGGTCCACGGAGGCCGCGGGGCTCTGGGCTGGAGAGAGCAGCATGGATGTGAGAGGCCCTGGGGCACAGCAGGAGCCCCAGCAGCATGTCTGTGAGTAGAGGATGGCCATGGGGAGAGCCTTGTTCATCATGGATGTGAGGTGAGAAGGGGAAACAAACATGGCAGTGGGAAGGGAAAAGAACCCAGCAGGCTGGAGCTCATGCCTGGCTGGCAATCCTGGGCAAGCTGGTTTGCCTCTGTAAGCCTCAGCATCCCTGGCTGAGAACGGAGGGAGCATCTCTGCCCAAGATGAGAGAGCAGGAAAAAGCGCCTCAAACCCTGAGGCTGGGTAGGGAATGTGTGTCATGGCTGTCACAGTGGCTGTGGTGGCCTAGAAGCTTGCTGCTGGGGCAGGGTAGTCAGGCAGGGAGCCCCACCTGGATAGGGGTGAACCCCGTTGGGATACAGAGCATCAGGGGCAGGCTGCCCAGTGGGCTGGGTGGGCACCGGGCTGTAGCCGTTGACGCCCAGGGCAGCAGGGATTGCAGAGACGGGCGTGGCAGCGATGGCAGGAGGGGTGCTGGTTCCTGGGGAGGAGAAAGCGACACAGCGCAGAGAAGCAGACACACACAGATGCAGAGAACCAGTCAGCAAGTTGGAGAGAGCAGACAGGAGCAAGCAGGCCACTCTGTGACCCTAGCCCTCTCCCAGAGCCAGTGGCTTCCCGTCTCTATCCCCACCATCCCTTGACTGCTAGCCCTGCCCTGTTCCTTGCCCGGCCCATCCCTGTCTTACCTGAGGATGGGGTGATGGGGGTGGCGATGAGGCCATTGGCGTTGATGGCGGCCATGTGCTGCATTTGCACAGCAGCCATGGTGGCCATGGGGCTGAGGTAGGCACTGTGAGCCGCTACCAGGGCCGCCTGCTGCTGCATCAGCTGGGGTGGGAAGAGAGGAGAGTGGGGCCAGGCCCCCATACCCTTGGCCTGCCTCCCTCCCAGTCTGGGCCTTGGTGTTGGGAGCGGGGCAGGACACAAGGCAGGAGGGATGCGGGGACAGGGGAATACTCAGGACAGTGCTTACGGCCTGGGTGTAGGCGCTGTAGGCTCCAAACTGGAGGGCAATGGGGCTGAACATGCCCAGCTGGGTGGCCACCTGCTGCATTCGGCGGAGACCTCGCTCCTTCTCTGTGTCAGCAAACTTCACCACCAGGCTGGATGAGGCACCCTGGGTGTGGGCCCGGCGTGCACAGAGGGACAGATCAGCATTTCCTCCTCCCCATGGCCCTCAGAACCTGGTCTCATTCTCCCAACTCCCATGGCTTGGCCCTTTTGGGAGAACAGCAACATTTTACCCCTGTCAAATGGAGAGATTCTAATCCCACCCTCTCCCTGTGCTGGGGTGTGAAAATGTGAAGGCATCTGCTCAAAGAGTAGAAGGCCTACCAGAATGGGGAGGGCATCCCTGGCTTCTCCAAGAGGACTCAGAGCTGGAAATCTTCCCCACACTAGTGGGTCAGCCACAGCAACTGTTTAATCTCGCCTTCCAGCTGCCCCACCTCTCTGACATGAGCCCCACCCCCATGCCGATGGCCTTGTGAGGTACCTGGCGCATACAGCCACAAATTTGAATACTGCCCTGAGCCAAATAGAGACCAGATTGGAACATCTGCAAGGGTTGTTGTAGAATCCTAGATGCTCAGACTGGAAGGGGCCCAGGGTCACTGAAAGCAGTTCTCTACCCCATTCTGCCTCCTTGCAACCCGGTCTGTAGGTCTGTACTCGGTGCTTGCCCAGCCTCTGCTAGAGAACTGTGCATTCGGGGAAACCCACATCTCTAAACCAACTGGTTCTTTTTGTTGTTGCTGTTCTCTTTTTGAGACAGGGTCTTGCTATGCAGTTCAGGCTGGCTTTGAGCTCACTTTATAGCCCAGGCTGGTTTCAAACTTGAAACGATCCTCCTGCCTCAGCCTCCCGAGTGCTGGGATTACAAGTGTGCACCACCATGCCTGGTCTCAAGCCCACTAGTTCTGATTTAGAGGTCTGTTCTGCTCACGAGCTCCCAGAGCACACTGGCTTCACTCAATGCTAAAGAGCAGGGGCATCAGAGTCAACATGCGGGCAAGGACAAAGCAAGGGTTCGGTACCCCGGCAAAGGGGGTTGGGGGTCATGGGAGGCAGGTGGGAGACAGGAGACGGAAGGAGGGCTGAGAGATGGAGGAGGCGGGAAAGGAGGGTGAAGAGGATTTGGATTGAAGATGAGTAGGAGAGAAGAGGTGGAGAACTATTATTTGACAAGTGCCCATGTCCCTGAGTGCTTTGTATCTCTTCTGCCAGAACCCTACTTTTCAGTGAATTCAAAGTCCTGCTGTGAGTAGGCTCCCCCTGTATGCCAGGGGCGGGGGGGCCAGTGGACAGGAGGCCTGGGAGAGAGGAGCAGGGCTCACCGGCAGGGTCCGGCTGCTGTGAAGGGTGTTGATGGCTGCTTGGGCCTCCGCATGGGTCTGGAACTTCACGAAGGCGCAGCCTAGAGATGGAGGAGGAAAGGGGTTTGTATACACTCTGAAGGCCACCAGAGGGGACCCACTGCCAGGGAACCAGTGGGTAGGGGCAGGAAGGTTACAGGGGCTGCACCTTTGCTGGTGCCATCTGGTCCCCGGAGCACAGTGCACTCATCTATGGTCCCGAACGGCTCAAACATCTTGCGGACATCTTCATCTGTCTGCTGCTTCCCTAGCATCCCCACAAAGAGCTTCCGGTCTTCTGGCGGGTAGAGCACAGCGGGAGGGGCATATTCAGGGCCTCCTGGCTGCTTTCTCAGCCTTTTCACCTTCTACTCTTCCCCTGGAGCTACTGACACTCCTTCCCCCACATGGGGACCAGTGGCTCGAGGGTGTGAAGGGGGTGATGGCTGGGGAGGAGGGGACAGGCAGATAGAATGGTCACCTCAGTTCTGAAGGACTTGTATGTGTCTGGGCCTCAGATTTTCCATGTCTGTGGTAGCTGGATCTCACCTCTGCAGCCCCCCCCCCACTCGTAGCCCCACCCTGACAGGAAACTCTAGAATTGTCAAGATTTCTTCCTGAAGAGACCCTGTCCCTCAGCCTCTCCAAGCCCTGGGCCTAAAGTGGGAAGAGAGGGACCAGGTCCAAAGGTGCAGAGCCTACCTCCTCGACTCTCGCTGTCGGCTGGCTTGACCTGGATCGGTCTGTTCATCTAAAGGAGAGAAGAGAGGGCAGCTGCTTGGTCGTGAACATCCAAGAGCCCTCCCCAGGTCAGGGCCTGCAGACGAGCCAAAGGGAACAAGCCCCAGACCTCGGCTTTTCCCCAGCACTCTGTTTCTGCTGGGAAGGAGGGACAGGGCCTAATCTCCCCTGGGTTTAGGACCCCGAGGGGATTAGAGGCAATGGAGAGAGGATGTGAAGGAAGATGCCCATGGGGCAAAGCTCCAGGCACAGGTTGGTCCTGCATGCCAGGGCCAGGAATAGCTGCTGCTCTCCTTAGGGAAGAAGAGGGCCTAGCCTGAAGTCCCAGGTCCTGAGGTATAGCCCAACCAAGGGGCTATTCAGCCAGAGCTGCCTCCATTCTACAAAGTAGGAGCAACAGGGACCACCCCATGGAGAAGCTCCAAGGTGAACTCTAGACTGAGGGAGACCCCACAGAGGCCCAGACTTTCTTCTGACCCTGGAGGTGTGTCTACCTCTCTTTCTACCACCCTATACCCCTTGACCCCAGGGGGAAGGCACTCGGGCAGCACAAAGGGAGCAGATGCCCAGTCTCCGTGGCAACAGGAGAATGCGCACCATGGCAACCGCCCACTCAGCCTGATTTATCCGTCCCCGTCGCCCTGGCGACCGTGGTGACGTCATCACTTCTGCTGCTCCACACGCTGGAGAAGGAGTGGGGAGGGGGGTGGGAACTGGGTATGCTGGGGGTGGAGGATTTGGTGGGGGTTGGGAGGTGGGGGAGGGGCCCCGGAAAGCTTTCTGGTCCAGGAGGGAGGTGTGCAGAGGCAGCCCTGTGGGACCATACTGTCCCTTCTGCATCCCTCCTCCAGAGCAAATCCTTGGTGTCTGGATAGCCAGGACTGCTCTGAGGGAGCAGAGGCTGTCCCAGGCTGCTTTGCAATATCTGTGGCACCTAAGTCCTCCTGCACTCTACCGTCCCTGACCCCTGCAGTGTTGCCCTTTGTTTGGTCTTCGGTGAGAATGGAGAATCCCCAGTTTCACTCTCCATCTGTTGTTTGGAGAGAAGACTTGGACATTACTCCCACAGGTTGATGTCCGTAGCCAGGGCAGGGAGCATCATAGAAACTGGCAAGGGAGGAGAAGGACACTCAGTGTTCAGTTTCTCAAAATATTTTGCTACGTAGGACTTTCACTACTGGGACCACACCTGGTCCCTCCCTCCCTCTGGTGGTGGGACAGTCCCAGTCCCAGTGACCAAAAGAAAACAAACCGTCCATGTTCATTCTGAAGGTGGGACTACAGGTACATCCAGAAGAGGTCCTGGCATAGGAGCCAGGAGACCTGGGTTGGAGGACCAGCCCTGCCACTCACTAGCTATGTGACCTTGGGCAAGCCCCCGTCACTTCTCTGTGCCTCAGCTTCCTCATCTATAAATGAAGCGGGTGGACCAGGTGGTCTCTAGTTGGGTTCCTTCAGCTCCAGTGATCTAGCACTAGGAAACCTTGTGCGGTATCAACACAAAGAACTGCAGAAATGGCTGCCCCCTCCCAAACCCCTTCTCAAACTGGACCTTCTGTCCCTGTACCAAATCAAGCCAGTCAGTCTCAGTCAGGTATTCATAGCCTTGGGTCACATCTAAGCTCTACCTCAAGTGATTCTCCTGCCCCAGGGCCCACTCCCAGATCTCTGGGTCTGTGAGCAGCTGGTCGGGGAGGGAAGTAACAGCCACACAAATCCTGCAGCCACTGTGCCCCCAGTTTAATCTCCTACCAATCTGGGATTATCCCATCCAAGCTCCAAGCTCCTTAGGGGTGTGTGTGTGTGTGTGTGTGTGTGTGTGTGTATCTGTGAAGGCCTGGGGTCCCAGGTTCAGGGGGCTGTTATCATCCCCTCCTTGCCTGAGTACTGTCACCAAAACAACCAGGAACCTCTAGAGCTGGCCCCACCCGACTCCCTAAGAGGTACAGGAAGAACGAGGAACACTGTGCAGGGGGATTCTTGTGCTGGGCACTAGCCCCTTCCCAATAGGCCCCTGGGGACTTGCCGTTCTGGACAGAGATGGTGAACCTGAGAACCAGAGAGAAAGGATGCAGTTCCCTCCCTGTATAGACTTCCAGGCACAAAAATAGCAGAGCAATAAATACCCACAGTGATGTGGATCTGCACAGAGACGTACACAAGTGCACAGACCACAGAACGGCCGCGGTGAGGAAGACTCCCTGGGTGCCCCCAGCACCCATTCTCAGCCTCCTCCTTCCTGGCCTGGCACTTCCTGTGGGAAGCCCAGGCTTTGTTAGCTCAACTCTGCACACCTGCCGCCTCCCCTGAGTCCAGCTGTGCTCTATTTACCTGGCAACCAAGCTGTGCCTCTGCTCTTTCCTAGCTACCACACGCCAGGTGATAAGCCCTCCCCAGGGCCTCCCAAAGAAGAAGGGGCTATTTATACCCCAACCAAGAATCCCTGCACTGCTCCAGCACCAGGATCACTTTCAAGGCCCCCTCCTCACGAGCAGAAAAGATCCCACTTCCAAGAGGAGCTCATTGTTCCCACAAAATCTAATTCTCTTAAGGGTGGAGACCTGGGGCCCAGCCACTCTTGGCTCCAAACTTGTTGCTGTGTCCCAGACCACACACAAGTGGGGCGTGTCCACCTTTCCAACCCAGAGTGGGATCGGGGTCTACAGCAGAGGAGGAATAGGCCAGGCGGAGGTGTCCCTCAGACCACCACATCCTGGAGGCCACACCCCACTCATGGGATGGATCCAGGGACCCGAGGCAAAGCTACCCTGGGAAGGTCTTCGTGGAGAGAAGAGGAAGTAGGGCTCAACAGTCACAGGCCCAGCCCCCATTCTTTCTCGGAGCTGCCGGAGCAGCCTGAAACTTCACCCTTATATAGTAGCACCTCTAGATTCTGGGATGACAAAGATGGGGAGCAAAGAAAGAGGGCTAAGTGCACTTGTTTAAAAAAAATGTGAAAAAAAATTTAAAACATTGAAAAAATAAAAAATAAAAAAAACATGCAGTAGGAAGGCTGGGAGTCTGCCGGCAAGAACTTCCCAAAGGAATCGTGCAGCACCTGACACACTACAACTATCTGAGGGGCTGTGACAGCAGAAAAGACCCAGCGGGTATAGCGGGGCTTGATCAGACATCTGCTGTACTTCGTTCTTCAGGTCTGGCCCCCAAACCTCTAACACAGCACCCCCATAAGCCCCTCATTTCTACTGAAAACTCTGTCAGGTCCCTCTGGATTCTGTCCCTTGGGGCAAGGGCCAACAGTGGAACTCAGTGTCACCTGGGAGCCCTGGAGCAGGGCTAGACAATCATTAACTGGGGCACCCTCCTCCCTCACCTCACCCTTGGCCTGATGTTCTTAGGAGGGTCAGGAGCAACCCTCCCCCCACACAAGGCTTTGCCTGAGCGACGCAGGCACCTGCGGGGACAGGCAGGTAGATTTCACTGGCTGGCACACTCTGCTCTTGGGGTTCACATCCACCCCCAGGGCATCTCTTGTCCAAGTCCCCTGTCTGCTGTCCCTTTTGCACACTCTCTTCCTCTGTCCCCTCTCTGCAGGGCTCTGAAATGGGGAGACAATAGGAAAAGGCCAACAGCCATGGGATGAAAACTGTTGGGGAAGGGAGGGAAGGAGAACAGAGTGGGGACCAGGTTTCATGTGCCCACACCCCACACATCTGACCTGTGGGCATTCGTGTGTGTGTGTGTGTACACGAACACACGCTAGCCTGGGCCCCTAGGCCTGCTCACACTCACACGTGGGTTCTCCACCCTGTGCTGTGGTAGCTGTCCTGGCCGCTGGCCAGGATGAGACTACTGAGGGGAGCCGTGGGGCGGGCCCTCCGGGGGGGCAGAACTTAAGGGCTGAGGGCCAGGGAGAACCTTGGGGGGAGCGTTGAAGTTGGGGGTGGTGGGAGAAGCTCTAATTTCCTCCCCTGGCCCTGCCCCATCTGTTTTGTCTGTTTCCCTCCCAAGAAGAGGTGAATGATCAGCCCCATTCTCTACTTCAGTGTGGGGCAGGAGCGGGGCTGGGATAAGTGTGTCTCCAGCACTCAGAGGGTGTCGAGCAAGGGTGTGCTGAGGGCAGGTAGAGTGAGGTCCAGGAGAAAACAGAAGCAGGTGATGGTAAAAGGGAACCGGCCTCTGCGACCCCTGTGCCACCCAGTTGTGTGCATGGGGCAGCCTGAGAGTCTTTATTCCTATTTCTCCGTTGCCAGTGCAGGCTTGGAACCATCTGCAAGTCTGGCTGAGAAGAAACAAAGGGGTGTGACCTTGCAGGAGGGAGGCCATGTCAGAGGCACCCCTGCCTCCCCAGCCAGCCTTGGTGGGGTCAGGCCTGATTCTGATGATGTCTGCTCTGCCCTTGTTTGCTCCCCCAACCTAGGCCTGCCCAGCCCCTGCTCGACCCTGTCGCCCTGTGGCTGTGTTCCTGGGGCTCTTTCTGGGAGACAAGAGGAGAGCTGTCAGAACTCTAAAACCAACACCTGGATGCCAAACCAGCAGGCCCCAGCTGCCTATTCTAAGGCATCAGCACCCCTCCCCCACCTCCCAGCCCTCCAGCTGTCTCCCCAGAGCCACAAAAGAGTGTCTGGGTACCTCCGGTTCACCTCGACCCACACTTAGTGTCCCAGTCTTCTCCCGACACCCTCCACCAGCTCAGTCCTCCCTCCAGCACAGCCCCCCTCCACGGGCAGGTTGGGAGGTGGGGGAGGGGCCGCATCTGCTCCAAAAGGTCACGTTTACTCCACTAATCGCTCCTTTCCTTCCTTCCAGGTAAGACTAGCGACATGCACGCATCTATAGCAAGAAAAGCCGGTGCTAGAAATAGAGAAGGACTTCCTGGTGATGGGAGAAGCTGGAAAATACGTTCAGTGTCTTGGGAGGATGGGACGCCCCTGCCGTCCCTGAGGCCCTTCTCAGCCACCCCAGGGCCTGCAAAGGATGGGACTCACCCCTGGAAGCGTCTTCTGTTCGTGCAGGGCACTCTGGGCCTTCAGGGCTGAATCGCGGGCACAGTATGTCAGGAAGGCACATCCTGAGGAGGGGCAAGGGCAGAGATAGAGTCAGGGGTGAGTCCCCAGCCTCCCCTCCTGAGGACAGGAGCTTTTCCTTTCTTGCCTGCTGGAGCGGCGGGTATCTGAGGGGGAAGACCTTCTGTCCCAGAAGTGGAGTGGAGACCTGGGGCTCCGAATGCGGGCAGTAATGGGCAAGGGAGGCACTTGGGCTGCTAGGAGATGGGACTTGGTGTGGCCGTGGTTGCCAGTGCTCAGAGTGTGGTTTTCTCCTCCTCAGCTGGTCTCCTTTCCTCTTTCTCCTCCCTCCATCTTGGTCACCAGCACCCCTTTCCTCTCCTATTTTCCCTATTTCCTAGACTCTCCCCAACCCTACAGGGGACAGGTACATGGTGGAGAGTGAAACCGAGAAGGACCGGAAAACACAGCCGGAAGTGCCTTTTCCCTGGGCCCAGCGTTGGAAGGGAAGTAACACGGCCCAAAGATCCTCAGTGCTTTCCAAGTTCTGACCCCAGGGTCAGCCCTGCTTAGCCACACAGCCCTGGGAGGGAGGCCTCAGGGGCATCCTCCCTCTTAACTTTCTGACCTTTCCCCATTTCCCAGATCACCACCAATCTCTGCCATTCATTCTCCACTCAAGTCCCTCCCTCCGCTCTTCAGTCCTGAGGTTGCCCTGTCCAGGGAATCTCCACTCTCTGCAAGGAGCACCTGCCCCTGTGTCCTAACCTCCATCCTGACTTTATCTGAGGCTACTCAGATTCTCAGTCTCTCTCTCTCTCTCTCTCTCTCTCTCTCTCTCACACACACACACACACACACACACACACCCCTGCTCAGCTCCTTATCTCTCAAACCAGCCCTCTGTCCCTCCATCCTTTCTTAAATTCATCCTGTGACATTAACATCTGCCTCCATCTCTGGGATCTGCATCTCTGCAGGCCTCTTGACAACTCTTCACCCAAAACAGCCCCTCTTGGTCCCCTGTCCCGGAGTCCCCTGGTCACTCTAGCTGAGTTCTTTTCCAGCCCCTCCATCCACACTTCCCAGCCCCTGGACTCTTGTCCTTCCATAGCACACCTTTCCAGCTACTCCATGTCTCTAGCCTGGCCTTTCTCCTCCTCCCAGCCTCCTAACCACCCACTGGCACCTCTCCAGCCTGGCTTGACCCCTCACCCTTGTGCAGCCCGGTGTACTTGTCCTTGATGACAGTCAGCTCGAAGATCCGACCAAACTGCTCGAAGATGGGCTTCAGGTCCTTTTCCTCCAGATGCCTCGGGATCTGCCCCACAAATAGCTTGATGGCATCCGGCTCCTTCATTGGGGCGGCCCAGGAGGAGGGGCCGAGGGGAGCAGGGAGAGGCCCAGAGGCCAGGGGAGCTGCCCAACAAGGAGGCAAGTGGTGGGGGCCGGGGGCCCAGCCGGGGCCAGCTTTCCCTTTGGCCCCCAACCACACTGCTGAGTGGAGGAGCAGCTCTTCACACAAAGGAGGCCCAGGAGTTGAGGGCTAGGGGTCAGGGGTCTAGGCAGACACTGCCGAGCCACCAGGGGGCATAGCCCAAACAAACGATCTCCCTCCCAGAGGTCTGGCAAGGATCCCAGGATGGGGGTCAGTGTGGCCAAGACCTGGAAGGTTGGGGTGGTAGCAGGTGCTCTAGGGCTCAGGAGGGCTGAGAACTGGGGGTGGCAAGGAGGGGTGGAGGTGGGGGAAAGGGCCTGAGGAAGGGGATGGGAGGAGACTGAGGGGTTCAGGGCCTGAGATATGGTTGCCAGCAGCTTCAGTGAGAGGGGCCCCTCCTGATGTGGGGCAGGTGGAGCTCTCGTTGGTTCCCCGGGGAGGACACCTCCCCTGTGGCTGATCCTTCTGCTGGGTCCGAAGATCCCTGATGCCAGATGCTTGATTTCTGATGGCGGCAGGGCTCCGGGGGTCCCTTTTGCCCTGCCGCCCCCCTTCAGGTCCTCCCCTCAGCCCCCCTCCCACCCCCACCCCGGTCCCCGGGCCTGGGCTGCTGCTGGCTGCTCCCGCCGCTGGGGCTGCCTGCGTTCCCGGTCACCTGGGTCCCGGAGCTCTGCTCTCCGGCCGCGCTCTCCTCAACAAAAACCTCCCCCCTCCACACCCCCTCCCCACTCCCACCTCCTTTCCCCTGACTTCGGTGATGTCAGTCTCAGGGGTAGAATACAAATTCTCTAGCCTGGAGAGAGACGCACAATCCTGGCATGAGCCACGCCCTCTTTCTATCACCATCCTTCCTGACTCCCTTCCCGCCCCCAGAAGAGCAGCTGGCCCTGTTGATAACAACCCTTCCCCCATCTTACTCCCCAATCAGGAGTTAGGCAAGGCAGTAGGATGGAGAATTTATAGAGGAGCCCTAAGGTGGGGTCCATTGTTCCGGGGGCTGGAGCTGTCCCCGGTGCTGGAAGAGAAGACCCAGGAGATGGGAGCTGGGGGTGGGGAGGAGAGGGGTGCTGGCATTTGGGGAGCCCAGAGTGAGGAGCCAAGGAAAGAAGACACGGAACAGAAAATGGGATAGGATAGTTGGGCAGGCTGAGGGGGACAGAGAAGTGTATGTGGGGAGGGCAGCCGGTAGTAGAGTCTGGAGGGAAAAGAGTAGAGAAACCCAGAGAGGAAAAAATGGGAAGGGAGGCGGGAAGGGAGAGCGGGTTGAGACGCTTGCAAAAAGGGAATTATATGTTCTCCAGAAAAGGAACCAAGAAAAACGACAGGTTTCTGACATTTACCGACACCCCGTTCTTTCCCCCTGGGGGGTTTGTGTGTACACGAACGTGGGCTGGAAGGCAGCGGTGGCAGCGGGAGCTCTCGCCGTAAGCTCCTTCAAGACCAAGACACCGTTTAATTCAGCATTTTACTGCACGGGTCGAGCACCGTGTTTGTTCGCGTGTAGTAGGTGCTTAATGAATACTCAATGCAAAGACCTCTTCTGAGAGTACATTCCTGATGCCTCCAGTGGGGAGACCCACAGCTGTCAAGTCTCCTTTAGGGCAGAGAAACCCAATTATTCTTCCCTGTGCTGCTCCTTCCAGTGGAGCTCCTTGGGTGGGACTTGCTCTAATTGATTTAGGCAGGAAGGATGGGCGGGGATGCACATTTGGGGGCCATTACTCCCCAACCACCCACTTCCATGCGTGATCAATGAGCTCCCTGATCTGGAAGGAGCCGGATCCTCCATGCACGGGTGCCAAGCCCTGCTCCGTGTGCGTGGACCTCAGGGAGCAGCGACAGACCTCACACCTCAGCAGCGGTAGCGCTGCCCCGCACCAGGTGCTTGCAGACCAGCAGTCACAGCCTTTGTAGAGCACACCGCCTGCTTGTCATTCCCTTCTTCACCCTGGGGTGGGGCTGATGTCTCCTCGGTGTTGGTGTCTCTGAAATTTGTCCCAGCTGAATCCCAGCAGCCTCCAATCCTGAGCTACCATGGCAGGTGGCTTTATCTTCTGGAAGTGAAATAATAGTCACAGTTGGTGCTCATGTGGCACTTACAGTGTCCCAGGCATTGCCCCAAATGTGTTGTGGTCTCTGACTCACTGAACCCTCACCACTGCCCTGTGAGGTGGAGTCTGTCACTGTCTCCAAGCAGAGATGAAGAAACCAGGGTGCAGAGCAAATGAATAACTTGCCTGAGGTTGTGAAGCTGGAAGGAAGTCTGCTGAGACTGGAGTCCGGGCAGGTTGGCTCCCGAGTCCACACATTTAATTCCCACATCAAACATTCCACTCAGGAATGGGGACAGTGGATAAGCCTGGCCTTTCGTCCTTTTCCAGCTTCATTTAAGCCAGGGCGAGACAGTCTTTCTTTCTGTTGCCTGATTTTCTGTTCCTCACATGCCGTCCTTCCTTAGCCCGGGTTTTTGTGGCTGGGAGCCACATCCTGGCAGAGGTGTGTGTGTGTGTGTGTGTGTGTGTGTGTGTGTGTGTGTGTAGACTTGAGTGCACTTCCTTGTGTAGATGTGCAGGTCCTCCCAATAGGTCCCCTAAAATGGTGAGGAGAGGAAAGTGTGGAGGACTCCACAGTGAGCATTCAGAAGATGAGACCAGCAGTACCAGAGAATCAGAAAGTACAAACATATTCTCCAAAGGAACTTTCCACTCTCCTGCCCCATCCCCACCACTCCTTTCTTGCTTTCTAATCTGATCTCTGTATTCATGGAGATGCTAACCAGATCACACCCTCTGAGGATGGAGAAGGGAAGACCCCCAGCCTGGTTGATCTCATTACTCTGTGTCTTCTCAGCAGATCTGCCGCCCTGCTGCTCATTCAGGCTTGGGCCTAATCATATTAACTGAAATATTAAACATTCACGAAAATGAATTTCAATGAACTCTTCTCCCTCCTCCTCCCAGTCAGTAATTGGGGAGACAGCTGCAGGCAGAAAAATGTCTACACTTTGTCCCTCATTCAGTAGCCCCCAAACTGGAAGTATCAGTCTGAGAGGAGAGGCAGGGTCTCAGGAGGAGGGGAACAGCTCTCATCAGCCCTCTGGCTGAGTGAACATGGGTATCTATACTTCTGATGTTCTTCTAGACCATGGGAAAATGGGTCCCTATGACATAAAGACTGGGGTGGGGGCCCGGTTCCTCAGGGGCCAATTATGGGGAGTTTCTCTCCAGGAGGAAATGCAGCTTCAAACCCTAATTCTTGCAAGATACCTTCTCTCCACCATCCCCAACCTCACCCTTTTATTCCTCTGTACTCAAAGCTAAGCTGCCCTACATAAAAAAGATTATTGACTTTATAAAGAGAGAGAGAGAGCTCTGTTCCTGGTTTTAGATCCCCAGAAAGTGAGAAATACCAGATAATTGATATATTTTTTCAGAAAGGGCAAAAACTGGTGGTACATGTGGATGAGGTGGCTAGTCATCAGATATTACGGGCTTCCCTGACTGAAATAGATGAAGACATCTGCAGCAGAATTTGTGAGAGTGTACAGATAATTAGATACATAAGCTTCCTGCCCTCAAGTGGCTTATATCTCAAGTAGAGAGGTGAGACCAGTGTAATACATTAGTAAAGAGATCTGTTAAGGAAACAAAAGTAGTCTCACATGTGGGTAGTTGGCCCACAGGATATGATCAGTGGAGAACAGCTTGACTGATTCTCAAAGCACAAGATCATATATACTTGCAGAAGGAGGACCTCAATTATTTTATGCATGGGGGGGAGAAGATGGAAAGAGTTATGCATGCATGTGTGTGTGTCAATACATTCGCAAGTCCAGACTGCAATGATGTTTAAAATAATGCAAGCCATTTATATAATTAAAACAATTCCAATACCCATTTAAAAAGTAAAATTAAGCCGGGCGTGGTGGTGCACGCCTGTAATCCCAGAACTCAGGAGGCTGAGGCAGGAGGATCATTGTGAATTCGAGGCCAGCCTGGGCTACAAAGTGAGCTCAAGGCCAGCCTGAACTGCATAGCGAGACCCTGTCTCAAAAAGTAAAAAGTAAAAAGTAAAGAGTAAAAAAAGTAAAAAGTAAAAAGTAAAAAAAGTAAAAAAGTAAAAAGTAAAAAGTAAAAAAAAGTAAAAAGTAAAGTTACTTTTAATAATGCATTTTATTTAACCTGCTGTGTCCAAAATACTATGTAAACATGTAACCAATACCAAGTTAATAGCTGGGTGTGGTGGCGCACGCCTGTAATCCCAGCACTTGGGAGGCTGAGGCAGGAGAATCGTTGCGAGTTCGAGACCAGCCTGGGCTACAAAGTGAGCTCAAGGCAAGCCTGAACTGCATAGTGAGACCCCGTCTTAAAAAAAAAAAAAAAAAAAAAACACACAACAACCCAACAACAATACCAAGTTATTAACAGTTATTCTACACTTTTTCACTAAGTCTTCAGCATACAGAGTTTATTTTACATTTCCAGTATGTCTAGCACAGTCGCATTCCAGATGTTTGAGAGCCATGGGGGTTTGTGGCAAGCGTACTGGCTTGCGCAGCTCCCGGGCTTCTTCATTCGCTTCCTTGGGGTGTGTACAGTGGGAAAGAGACAGGTCTGGTTAACCTCTGGTCCTGTCAGAAAAATAATCCTTCTGACAGATGGCTGCTTATCTCCCTCTCTATTGACTCTCTCTCTCCTGAAAAACAGACAACCAACCAAAATGATTACTAACCCGGAAGGGGTTTCTGGCAATTGATCTCTTTCCCTGGGCTGGGAACTATCAACACTTTCCCTGATTTCCTGGTCTTTGCTGAGAAAAATAGAGGCAGACCACTAAGGGAGTCCTTCCCTTCATCCCAAGAGCTGATGCTGAGCTTGCTTCTCAAGCTATTTCTTTGCTCCTTGGGGAAGTTGTTCAGAACTCTGAAAAGGCAGCCCCCCTTTTGTGTTCTCTGCTCCACCCCCTCAGAAGGCCTCAGCTGCGCGTGATATCTGTGGGTGTGGGAGCTCCGTGTGTGTGTGTGTGTGTGTGTGTGTGTGTGTGTATTGACAGACAGGCTCCTGCCCTTTCAGGCCGCTATTTTTGGCTCTCTGGCTTTATGTTTCATTTGCCTTTCTTAATTAGAACCTAGAAGAACAAACCTTGAAGACCAATTCCCTTTTTCCTTCCATACTTAATCGGGAGTGGGGGAAATAATTTAGAATTTATGAAGAGTATAGGGTGAAGAGAAAAATGCACACCTGTAATCCTAGCACTTGGGAGGCTGAAGAACGTCAGTAAATTCAAGGCCAGCCTGGATTACATAGCAAGATCCTGTTTCAAACAAAAGAACAAACAAAAACCAACTAACCAAAACATAACAAAACAAGAAAGTCAGTTCAAAAGGGGGAAATTCTGCTGGGGTGTCCCGCAGGTCTTTCCCAGCATCCTGAGAAGGTTCCTCTGCAGATGTGCTAAGGGTACTCTGGGTCCAAGATTCCACTGAGAAATGTCCACAGGAACGATACAAAGTTGGGAAGAAAAAAAGCTTGGATTCGCTGTCCTCAGCTGCAGGATTCCTTGCCACATTCAGCATCTGGCCAGGTAAGGAACCAACTGCTGGGAGAGCCTGTCTAAGGAAACTTTTTCCTGCTTTGTTCTAGTCTAGGGCTAAGAAAAAATATTATTGAGGTTAGGTACGGCCAATAAGAAAGGCTCATTGCTTATACACTGAAGTTGAGAAACCTCCCAAATTTACATCCTTCGGAGACTCCTCACCCCCACCTCCCCACGTTTACGCCCCAGCTGCAGAGCCCGGTCCATACTGTTTCCTAGGATTCCCCGCTTGCAAGGCGGGGGCTGGACTGGTGGGGCGGGGCGGAGGGCGGGGCCGAGGGCGGGGCCTCGCTGAACAACCACCCGTCGCCTTGACGACCGCGGCAAGATGGCTGCGCTACGGCAAACGCAGCTAGGACAGGACCCCGGGCTGCTGAGCCCGGAGAAGCTGGAGCAGCTGCGAAACTTCAAGGTGCGTGAGTCGGTGCTCCCTACGCCCGCCTCCATCAAATGCTGCTCCCCAGAACAGGACCCGCAGACAGCGAGAAGGGCCGTGAGAGAGAGGAACGGGGGAGCCGTGCCTAGATCGAGGGGGGCTCTTGGCAGATCTTTGGGCCTCCCGGCCCCAGAGCCGAGCTCGACGGGCTACTAAAAGTGCAGGAAGAATTAAAGCAGGAATCCAGCGGGAGACATGGACCGAAATTACTGCCAGATAAATCAAGTTAGATACAGTACAAAGAACTTCGGGTGGGGATCCAACCTCAGTGAAGGCCCCTAAATTTGAGCTGGAGGCATCGGGAGAGAAGTGGAAGGAAGCCGGGTGGCGTAAGCGTTTAGCACCCCAGGCAAAGACCCGGGTTAAGCGGGCTGGTCATTTCTCCCAACCTTTCAACCTCTGGGGTCGGACCTGGATCGGGCCCCTGAGGGAGCGTGACCCTTTGCTCTTACCCCGCAGATCCAGACACGAATTGCTAATGAAAAGTACCTGAGGACCCACAAGGAGGTGGAGTTGCTTCTAAGTGGCTTCTTCAGGTAGGTGGCTTTCCAGATCGGCCTTGGACAGCTGGTGGACAGTTTTATAAAATCTTGCTGCGGGGAGATGAATATCAGCGCCCTTTCAGTGCTCCCTGTTGCTTCTAACTCCTTAAAAGTTAGAAAAATCCTAAGATCAAATTTTCTTCTAACACTTGATTTGTAGTGCTAAGGTTTTCTTAAGCAGTCTCTTAGAGATTTCCTTCAGTTATCTCTAAATTCTTTTTCTCTGTGTGTTTGTTTTTGTGGCACTGGATATTGAACCCAGGCCCTTCGCATTGAGCTACATCCCCAGCCTTTTCTCTTCTTTTTTTCTTTTCTTTTGTTTTCTGTTTTATTTTGTTTGGTTTTTGAGATAGGTTCTCGCTATGTAGTTCAGATGGGTCTTAAACTCACTATGTAGCCCAGGCTGGCTTCCAACTCACAGTGATCCTCCTGCCTCAGCCTGCTGAGTACTGGGATTGTAGGCTTGGGCTACCAGGCCTGGCTTTTTTTTTAAATTTTGTATTTTGAGACAGGTTCTTGCTAAGTTTCTGACTTGTCCAAGCTGGCCTTGAACTTGCTGTCTTGTTGCAGCTTCCCAGAGGGCTCAGATTACTATTCACTCACTTTAACTGTAAAGGGAAATAAATACATATGACCCTTGGAAGAGGGAATTTGGCACTGAGAAACCCCACAAGCAGCCACTGGATATGGAATGTTATTCTCAACTGAAGTACCTAAACAAGATCACTAATAGGACTTTAAAATATTAAATGCAGAGCCAGGCATGGTGGTATATGCCTGTAATCCCAGCACTCAGGAGCTAAAGCAGGAGGATCACCACAAGTTCAAGGCCAGCCTGAGCTACGTAGTGAGACTGTCTCAAAAAAACCAAAATCAACAAATAAATAAACTCAGATGTCTGGCCTTTCCCTACCTGAGAACATTGTTGTAGAAAAACTCCAAGGATTGACAGCTACTTATTTGTTAGGCAAAAGAAGGCCGTTTTCCATGGTACCTGGAACTTAATCTTTCCTGCTCCATACTGCATTTCAGTGTGGCATTTGCTTGAATGGAAAAATCTAATGTAATGAAAGACAAAGAACTGAAGAAAGGAAGAAAAAAATGGAACATGAGTGGATGAAAACAATGAACTGTCTCAGGGGCTGCTTGGCTATAGTCAAATCTGCAAGCTTTAAACAATAATAATGAGGGCTGGGGGTATAGCTCAGTGGCATAAGCACCTGCCTGGCAAGCACAAGGTCCTGAGTTCGATTCCCAGCACAAAAATAAATAAATAAATAAATCATAATAATAATGGCTTCATTTCCAGATCCCAGATTGTTTCTCTACCCCAGCTGTCATCACATTGTGTTATAGCTGCCTTCTCAGTCTTGTGCTGCTGTTACTGGTCCAGTGCTCCAAGCTGGTAGTCATGGGTGTGTCCCCAGTCCCATACAGCAACACCTTGATACAGTTTTGCTGACCCCCCCCAACAACTCTACAAAAGATAAGCTTAGGCTGGGGATTTAGCTCAGTGGCATAAACACCTGCCTGGCAAACACAAGGTCCTAAATTCAATTCCTGGTACCAAAAAAAAAAAAAAAATCACATGGATGAACCTCAGAAGTTATTGCCAAGTGGAAAAAAAGATCATTGGAGATAAGTTTATGCAGGGTGTGGTGGTGTACACCTGTAATCCCAGTGCTCTGGAAGCTGAGACAGGAGGGTGAAGAGTTCCAGGCCAGCCTGGGCTACAGAGCAAGACTCTCAAAAGCAAAGCCACTGGTGCACATCTGTAATCCCCACACTCAGGAAGCTGAGGCAGGAAGATTGTGTGGGAGTTTGAGACCAGCCTGGGCGACAAAGTGAGCTCAAGGCCAGCCTGAAGTGCATAGCGAGACCCTGTCTCAAAAAACAACAACAACAAAAGCCGGCAAACAAAATTATTATTTCCATTTTAGAAGTGTGACAAGTTAGTCTCAAAGAAGTCAGGTACCTTCCTCACATTGCTGAGCTAGATTCGGAGCCCTTTTTCTTCCACTGTATTGTGCCGTAAGCATCGGTCCACAGGGAGAAAGGTCCACAGGACCATTTGCTTACAACCCAGGGGCGCTGTCCTTCCTTTTGGTGGTAAGGCAACTTTCTTCGTGTGTTTGCTGGATTTAGGGTTCCAGCATCACAAGAAAAAGCAGAAGAGGTCTGAGGGCTGGGGTGTAGCTCTGAGACAGAGCTCTTGCCTAGCATGCATGCATAGGTCCTGGGTTCAAGGCCCAGCCCTCAAAAAGAAAATAAGAGGGTATATCTAGAAGGCTGCTTTTTCTCAAACCTCTTTGGTTTTTTTCTTCAGTCTCACTGTTTTTCGTATTTTAGCCATTTGTTTGAGGGCCAGCAGACATAGAGGACACAGAGAGGAAGGAGGCAGGGAAAAGAAAAAGCTGAAACCTATCCAGCTCGTCTGTGAAGGTCAGGTTCATTGAAGCCGGGAGTAAGTGTTGGTCAAAATATAGGGTAGAAGTCACCTGTCAGTGTCAGCCGGGGGGTTTGGCCATCACTTTTTGCACCTTTTCTTCAGAAAAGAGTTAAAGCATGGAGATTCCTGCTCTAGGGAGCTTGCCATCCAAGTTAGGAATGGTTCCACTTGATCTTAGCCAAAAGGCCGGAAGCGATAGGAATGGTTCCAGAATTAAGTCTCCATCTGCCTTGTGCACATGCAAGGGTTGTGCGTGCGGTTTCGGTCACTGGTGGAGGATGGCCCTGCTTGTGTTTGTCCAGGAACAGTTTCCGGGAGGAAGGTGGGTGTGAAGTCCTGGCTGCTTCGGCGACAGCCCCAGGCGTCTTCCCTTTCCTCCCCATCCCCTCCCAGGGCCTTATGGGCCACCAGACTTTTCCTTTCGCTGTTCCTGAAATTCCCTGCATGAAATCCTGCGGGCTCCTTTTAGGCCTATTCTTGGGGTGGACGGGGATGTGTTCAAAGTGCGAGGGTTTGCTTTTTGTTTGATGTTATTGTTATTTTCTTTGAGTAGTAGCAGAGTGGATGAGAAACTGCTCTGGACTTCTACTGGCCATTTCTCATGGCACCACCTGTGAGAAGAAGGGAGAGGGGAGGGCAGGGACCCAGCAGCTTGCCTTTGCTGTCTGTGTTGCTCCTCTCTGCTCCTCATTTTGAGCCGTGAGAAGCTCTGAGCTGGTCTTACTAGGAAGTAACTTGCCTGCTTGACTTTTATGGATTCTACTGATTGGTGGCCAGCTATAGTTTTCCCATGTATTCCAGAAATAGTCTACAGAATTCTTTGTACCTTAGTTTTGGGCCTGAGAAATAAAAAGAGTAGTGATCAAACTTATTTTAGGTTTAACTTGTTATGGTTTGTGTCTGCACGTCCCCCCAAAGCCTCATGCAGTCATGGGGTGGGCTTCTAGAGTTTGTGATTGATTCATGGTCCAATGCTGGGATCATGGGTGTGAGTGCTACACCCGCCCTGGGGTGGGCAGCCTGTGTACAGTATAAGGGAGGGAAAGAAGCTTGCTCTTGCTTCTTCCTTTTTGCTCTTGCTGCTTTTGCTATCTTACACCACCATGAACTGTTGCCCTCTGCCGTGTGCCACCATGCCTTGGAGCCAGCCGAGTGTGGACTGAAACTTCCACAAACTGTGAACTAACTAAACCTTTCCTTCCTTAATTTTGGATGTCAGGTATTTTGTTTCAGCAACAAGAGAAAAGTAACCAAGACAGGGCTGGAGGTATGGTAGCCATATACGACACTGGACAAAGGCTTCATTGGATGTTTTTGTAACTACCCAGGCAGATGAATCTTCCCCAGTTTTTTCAGCCTGTTCTCCCTTGGCTGGAAAAAAGGCTCAGTGGTGCTTCTATTTTGCCGCCTTTTGTCTAAAACACTCTATTGGCAGGCATAGAAAAGTGACATGTCCTAGGTTAGGTGAGCCCCCATGCCCAGCTCCAGTGCCCAGAGGAAGAAATTGAACCTCACCAGTGCCTCAGCCCTTTGGGGTCCCTTCCATCACTCTTCCCGTCACAGCAACCAGCATTCTGCATTTAAAAGACTCTTTTGCAGTGGTGGGGCTTTTAACTCAGGGACTCATGTATGCTAGGCAAGAGCTCTGTCACCGAGCTGCAGCCCCAGGCCCACCGGGATTCTGATCTCTGACAGCACAGATTCATTGTGCCCTTTTGTATTTTATATAAATGAAGTTCTTGTATAAAAGCGCTCCCAGCCAGGCGTGGTGGTGCACGCCTGTAATCCCAGCACTCAGGAGGCTGAGGCAGGAGGATCATTGCAAATTCAACACCAGCCTGGGCTACAGAGTGAACTCAAGGCTAGCCTGAACTGCATAGTGAGACCCTATCTCAAAAAGACCAAAAAAAAAAAAAAGAAAAGGTGCACCTATGTGCCTGCTGTCTTTTATTCAGGAGTAGCTAGTAACTCCTCTCTTCTCACCTCCTTGGCTGTGTG